GCCCGGAGGTGCTGTGGCGCCCCTGGGCTTCGCCCCGGGGCGCCGACCAGCTTCCTTGGGGCGCCCAAGCCCGGGCGCCAGCGCCCGGGTGCAATGGGTATTCCGGCGAAAGCTGTGTTTAACCGAGCCGAATTCGTGCATACCGGTCCTGGGCTTTTGTCAACGGTACAAGCAGTCGGCAGTGGGCACAAAGTCAAAAAAATCCGTGCCCAAATCTGTGCCCCCCTATCCAAAGCAAGTACCGTACCTACTACAGGAACAATTGCTCTTATTGAAGCAGTTTTTTGCAGATGAATCATGAATGGTTAAAGCATCAGACTCGGCTACCTGTATGTGTAGAGGGCTCGACCTGGAATCCGTCGCGTTTTCAGTCAATTGTGAGTGCTTATCCCCAATAATGGAACTATATGGGCTTCCTTGTGTCCTGATTGTATGTGCAGGCAATGCTCTGATAATCTGTACTTAGAGATCATCAGAGTTCCCGGTTGAGGCGGCCTGAATGATAGGTTGCAAATCTAACTTTCCAAAAGTAGGCGGGGCCTGCGGCCCAGGGCGCTCTGGCGCCCCGGGCTTCCGCCCGGGGGCGCCAGTATTTGCCCCGGGGCGCTCTGCGCCCCGTTTGGCGCCCCGCCAGAACCCCTGATTCAGACCGCATAGGGTCCCGGGTCCCGGGTCTGGGTTTCAGTACGTCACCTTGCGTCATTACTTTGTACTGATCAAGCGTACGCTGAGTGTACAATGCGTGTACTCACAGTGGAAACCGCTCGATCGGCAACTTGCCGCCATCATCGTTCCCCTCGTGCGTCAGCGACACCCCTTTTCTCGATCGACATCCGGCCAAAGGGCCGGGTGCAGGAATTTGCAAATTTTCGAGCACCCGGGTGCGCAACCCATTCTCATACCCTTATGTACAGAAACCATACATAGGCATGCAGCATCATATGTTTGTACAGCATACTGTCATGTGTTGATATGGTCACATATCCCGGCGGTATGGGGGCAGTATCGATATGTGCACCGGGGACACGTTGTATGTGGTGCCGTATGTAGCCCTGCACAACATCTTGGCACCATCCTCACACCGCCAAGTGCGGCCTTGCCGGGAGTGAAGCCAAAGGAAGTTGCAAACGTTTGACTTGGTCCGGTAATATGTTCAATATGCAAACAGAGGGTGCTTAATACAAGTATTCGTGATTTACATAACCATTCTGTAATATGGGCTCCTCAGCACATATGCTTTCAGACTGTAGTGATGATATCTGTCTACCTTTTTAACATAAGCTAACTAAAATTGGTCATCCGTGAATACATAGTGTCCATCAAGAATCAAACCGGAAGGCTGCAAGCGCCGAAAGACGCCACTTAAATGTCGTCCGATCGAACATATGGCGTCGCTTATCTGTTTCCTTCTGCAGACATAAGTGCAAGCGATGTTTGTCAAACCTACGAACATACGGTGAGACAACTGATGTCAGCTGGGCCCTGGCGGATTGAATCTGGCGCGAAACGATTTGAATTGCAGGAACTGTTGCCATTGGCACTTTCAGGCAAGCAGGAGACAGAGACTTCCACCGTCAGGAGAACAGCAAGGACAGCATTGAAGCAGCTGCACAGGACCTGGCCAACAGTTTTTCACCGCATTCCCAGCCCAGCCGCATTGGTGTTCCATACTGTAGCGTCCCTACTTCAGTGAGGGCAGCCTGCCTGTCTGCAGAATCAGGGCCGAGTTGATGGCTGCTCTTGGAGTTGCGGCGGAAGGCACAGGAAAATCTACAAGCTTGAGGACTAGAAGGTTGCAGGCTGAGGATTCTAAGCTAGTCAAAGACATTGAAGCTAGCTATGTGAAGCACATTACGCCTTTCAGGCAGGCAAAGTGGAAGAAGGACATTCCGCCTGGGTTTAATCCTGTCCCTCTTGTCTATCATGCTGACAATGATGAAAATCCTCGTGAGCTCAAGGTTCAAGCCAACCGGGTCCTTCTTGGGGTTTTCCGAGGCTTTCGGAAGCTGCAGAAGAGTCCTGCAACGTGGCTGGCCAATGCTGATATGTTGGAAAAGGAGGGGCTGAAGAGCTTAAAGCCGGAAGACTGGCAGGACCTTTTGGAGTATGTGCTAGACTTGCATCTATTAGATGAGAAGGTGGCTCACGAGCTGAGTCTCCAGCTTTCAGCGCAGAACAGCCTGCAAGATTTCTTAGAAACGGAGCGCTTCCAGCTTCTGCCCTTCTTTGTCAAGCTTCTTTTTGCGAGCGTGGATCCCTTTGTGGCGCCAGCTCACACTCAAACTGCAGAGGCAAACAAAGAGCCACAGGTGAGGTCGCTAAAAACTGATTGATCTCTTGCCAAGGATGAAACTGTGCAGTCACGCGTAAAACCATTGGCAAGCAGAAACTTTGTTTGAATCAAGGGCAGAGTTGAAAGGGCAGAGGGCCTCTTTTGGAGATAAGCATTGACTTTCTAAATATTCTTCTCCGATAACTTGTTACTGATTTGCGATGCGCGCAAGGAAAGAGTGTTGCTGGAAACAGGTTGCCCACATGCAGGTTGAAGGAGACAAGGGTATGTTGAATCACCAGAACTTTGCATGCCATGTTGCTGTTGGAGAGATTGCGTCTAAACGTCACATGTTGGCCACAATGTTTCAACGTAAGACTGCTATACCATGTACTAACCAGAGGGAGTGCAGTCAAGGGGGTAACTTGCGGTCACGGAAAGTTTGTTGGCAGCTTTCACAGCATTTCAAAGTGCGGAGCGCAAGGTCACAAGCTAAGGGCCTCCCTACAAAGCTGGCTTTATGTCTCGTCTACGAAACATGGCATCCCATGTCAATGGCCAAGAACACCTTCTGACAGATCAGGAAGTCTTACGACCAGGTCCTTCCAACTAATTGCAGGGAGATATCAGCGGAGGAGGGCTCAAAGGCCCTGGAGGAGGTCCAGCTGCGGAGAGTGCTGGCGAGGTGAGTGTGTACTTGATATTGGAGTTCTCAGATCGCAGAACCATTTTTGACCATGAACGAGCTATGACAAGAAATCTTCATGCTACTTTATTCAGGTTCCTTCCCCTTTATGGGGTAAGCTTGACAGGTCTGTGAAGCCCTGTTCGCAAAGTTCTCTCGGTGCTTTGCTACTAGTTTGGTACTTGAGTCCTCACCGGTACGCGATTAGCATATCTAGGGACAAATTAGAATTTTGGTATGCTTAATCTGATCTGAAAAGCATCGAAGTGAGCTTTGAAGGTTGAGTGTTGAAGTCGACTAGTCAAAAGCCTGCTCTAGTATGATACCGGCCGTTGAAACTGAATATCATTTGGGCCGTTGCTGTGCATTGTCCAATCCTTTACATCTTGTTTCTTCTCTTTGGCAAGCAAGCTTGAAGCGTTGGTCTTGACCATGGTTTTGTCTGGATTAACATCATAAGCTGGATGCAGGTGTCCAAGGATACGAGTGTTACAAACGGGGGCTTTGATAGAGCGTCTCGGACACTTGACCATCATTCTGCGCCTGCAGAGGGGCTTCCCAAGGTATGCTCTCTCAACAGTCCTGATCGGTTGCAACTCGCGTTTCTGATCAGCATATATCGGTGGTCACTGTTGCCCCTTTGCGATCATACTAGATGCTCTACAGAACAGATCAATCTTACAACAGTATGAACAAGGCTTACTTACGACATGATGTGCAAGAGTTCATGCAGTCTGTCTAAGGGCAAAAGGGTTTTCGTTCCAGGTTGTGCAGGTTGCAAACGGTTTTTGGTTACGCTTATCGAGTCTGAAAGCAAACACTCAAAAAGAAAGGCTGAGTAGTATCTTGCACCCGAAGACACCATCTCGTTAGGAGGTTGTGAAGCGGTCCATCTGCAAATCAGCCGCATTGCCAAGACCAGAAATTGCACCTTTTGTTGCATAATCAGCACAGCACTAATGAGCAGCAGGATACCAACTTCTCAAAGTATTCAACTACAGGAGAACCAAAGCCCTCCAGCTGACAGCATCGGGGTCGGCGTGGATGAGGCGGTAAACCGCGAGCATTCAGCAGGTGCGTCTAGCATCTGGTCGGTATCACCGGCGAACTAAGCTGTGTCACACGATGCAGGGATGCATTGTATTGCATCAGGCCAGACTACTTGGTTGTTATTAAAGGACAACATTGATCACTTAAATTGGGCCACAAGTAGGTTTTGGTTTCTCCACTTTCCTGCAAAGATCAGAGAATCCCTTGTGCTCACATGGCTCCGTCTTCCTTTCTTCCCTTGTGGCTCTTGTTTGTGTTCTTCCCTTTCTCAGAATGGTATAATCTAGAGAGTGGAAAACCCAGAATTTATGAGAGCGGGCCATCAAGTTTTTGTATCCGACCACAAATAAGACATCCGGCAGCCGTTTGAAACTGTTCAATGGCCAATACTGGGACAACTAAAAGACGACGTAGTCGTCAGGCTTCCATTTGCTGCAGTGGCGCTCTATTAAGAGTAACATTGCCACCAACTCATGTTGCCAAAAATCCGCCTGGTTTTTGAGCCCAGATTAACCAGACTTTCCTTCCTCCGCAGACGCGTTTGGGGGTCTCTCAAGACAGCTCAATCCCCCTGGAGTTCTGCACGGTGGTCCAGCAGGGCACCCCGCTCAAAGCGCAAACGCCCAAGAAGGTGAATTGGGGCAGCCCACACCACAGGAGGCCTTCCCCAGTACATCTACTGGGCAGCCTACTCTGCCATCAGATGGGCGCACCAGTCCAGTATGGCAGCCCCCACCTGAGGAGACTCCGCTCAACGCATCTGGCGAGCAGTCCGCACCCCCCCCAACTATGCGCGGCGGTGAAACGGGGCAGCCTACGACCCAGGGGGGGCCACCGGGTGCTTCAACCGGGCAGTTCGTTTACTCACAAGACGCGCGCCACAGTCCAACGGGGCAGCCTACACAAGAGGGGGCACCACCCGAAACTGCAACAGGGCAATCCGCTTTCCCCCAACACATCGGCGACGGTCGTACGGGACAGCCTACCTCGCAGGGGTTCCCACCCGGTTCTCCAACCGGGCAGTCCGCTGTCCCCCCGAGCGCATGTGCCGCCCGAACCGGGCAGCTTACACCCCAGGGGGCCCCACTCGGTGGTACAACCGGACAGTCTGTTCGCCCCCAGGACACGCATGGCGGTCGCACGGAGCAGCCCACCCGTGAGGGGTCCCCGTCCAGTCGTGCAACCGGGCAGTCCGGTCTTTCTCAAGATGCTTGCGGTGGTGGACGGGCGCATCGCACACCCGAGGATGCCTCCAGCGCTGAAACCGAGCAACTCCTATTTCCCCAATCCAAGCAGAGCACTCCAGGGGGGCGGCCGACATCTCAAGGCGTCCCGCTTGGTGCTTTGTCCGGGCAGTCCGCTCCCACGCTCGACGGGCACGGCGGTCGAACGCAGCCGCCAAAAACTGGGGGGGGAGCTCCTGATGCTGCAACCGGGCAGTCCACTAAACCCCAGGCGGGGCCGCCCTCTACAGGGGGCTCGGCGCCGGGCAATTCAAACGAACAGTCTGCGCGGTCCCAAGACGAACACCACAATGCTCAAGGGGGTCACGCCTCACCCCAGGAACACTCCCAGGGACCTCCTCTGCACGAGGCCCAAGGTGCGGACAAAAGCGCTTCTCCGTTGACGTTCGACTCGATGCTGGACCCTGGTTGGAGCCCGTCGCATGGTTTCCCTCAAGGCTTGAATCCTGTGGATGACGAGGTAAGCTTCCTGCTTCTCGGTTTCTAATCATGTTACAAATTTTGACATGCGCGACCCCGACCAGATGGCTGGCCCTACACTAGTAGTGCCAAGTCTTGGAATCAGGAATCCAGGCATGGTCAAGAGCCTGTTGGCACCTTGTCGCAGTCTGGTCGGTTGGTCTTGTCGTTGCTAGCTTCGGATTTCGGCAGAATCTGTCTGTTGTGCAAGGCATGGTGCTCCAACGAGATATTGCATTTTCGTTCTTAGCGTTTCAAACACTGGACACCATTCTCAGAAAAGCATGTAGACGTTGCGCATGAGTGGTTGGTTGTGGTGTGGTCAGGAACTTGTACGGCCCTCTTAGAAGTGACTTTGCTCAATCGAGCAGACTGTAAAAAGCTGCCTCCTCTGCCTTTTAACTCATAATACTGTCTTTACCCCAGTTGCCACAAGAAGAAGGGCAGGGCGTCTTCGGGGTTAGCGCCAACCTTCCACCAACTGCCCCCGGTGCGCAAGCGGAGCAGCCATTCGTTGAGATGAATCAGGTAAAGATTCGATTTACGTAGCGTTTAGGAGTCAAGTGCTGCGGGAGAGATACTTGTGGCTGTCCAAACGAGCTCCTTGACAGTCTACTTTAGATTGTTGATAGCCCAACATGAGGCAAACTTCTCGCATTGAAACTGATTGATATACCCTGAAGTGAGCAGATTTTTGGTCCCCTTGGCGACCTTTTCCAATGGTGGCCCTTGAAGTTTGATGTTTTACTCGCCGAAAAATCTGACGCAGTAATCGAACAGGATTCTGCTACGCTTCACTTGACCATGTTTTGTGAAACGATGAGGATCAAAAACCTCGATAAAGTGCAGTCCGAAACGTGTGAATCGAAAGGAATCAGAAGCTTTTTTACGTCCCGATGGAGCATAATGTCGAGAGCTGCAATGACAAGGTCGGCTATACAAAGTCTGCAAAGGCAGTCTAGTGATTTTACCTTTGCTTTTGCGCCTTTTCTAGGGACCTGCCGGTCAGGATGGACGGATGGGATCAGCTGCCGATATCGTTGGTGTGAAGCGGAAGGGGGACTACGGGAAGACCATACAGCCCTGCCTCGGTTGTGACATGCCCGGCCACATCCGGGGGGCGTGCAAGCATTGCGGGCTCACCCGAGAGGACGCCAAGCGGCTGAAGTGGGAGAAGAAGGCCGCCGAGCTCGAGCAGAAATACAAGGGTGTGCCCTATCGTCGCTCCGCACAGACGGATTTCAACTCAGCCTGTCAGAAGCTGCTCAACCTCAAGATGAAGCATCAAGAACGGGTTGAGTTTGTCCTGCTTGCTCTCAGCGCGGATGGCAAAGGCAACCCAAGCAAGACCCCTATGGTCTTTGCCACCGGGCCTCCGGGGAAGGCGTTTCTTGGGCATGCAGCCGCGGTTAAGTTATGGGCGAGCACTGCAGAAACTCACTTCCTGGAATTGAAAAAAATAGCGGAGGAGACTGCAGTGCAGGCAGCAAGTAAGACTGACGTTGGGGCGACGGGCGAGGATTGCTCAGATCAAGCTGCCCAGGTAGGAGGTATGGTTTCGAAGGAGGTCGTCAAGTGGCTCGAGGATCAGCAAATGGCCCAGTACGTGGAAGTCTTTAGGGATTATCACTGGTTCAAAATGGACGACCTGAAGGAGATGACGGTTGACGGCCTTTCAGAGATGGGAGTCAAAGGGCTCCATAAGCAGCGCTTGTTGAAAGCTCTTAACAATCTGCACATAAATTAGTGGAAACCGAAGCCAGTTTATTTGAATCAAATGGAGTAGACGGTTGTTGAATGCTTGACCGTGAGACCGTCTCGTTGGCCCAAGTGATTGCTCTATTGTTGCAGGTTTTGTCTTGAGACTTGACATAAACTTCAAGCTTTGCGTATGAATGATTACATGCTCGTTTGACTTGGTTGCATAGCATGCAATGCGCCGCAAAATTGCACTGCAAGCCAGACTACAACGTACTGTGTGTCTCGATTGAGAGTGCATGACTCCTTGATCAAGCTTCGTCCATTCAATGCACATCATGGGGATTAAAGGTACGTACGTTATGGTGAGACAAAGTCACATATCCATACAAAAAACGGTTTTGGTGTCATAGCCGGTACCCATTTGATGATGATCGAACGTTGATATGTGCATCATGTGCATGGCATGTGAGTAATCACTAGTTCGTCAATATGTCTCACAAATCTGGCTACCTGGAGCCGCGGCCCTACCTAGCTGAGGTACTAGTAGTATAAGGTCACAGTCTTGAACCGCACTAATTACATCAGGTCGTGCAGTCCATCAAATTTTTATGCAATCAGACTATATAGGCAGCTAGGCCGGGGCCCGGCCTCTGTTAGAATCATAGCACGGCAGTATAGGCAGCATAGGACCCATGCAAATCAAAGTGATTGTTGCGAGCCTGTCAATAAATGCGGCTGCGCGCTATCACTCATGCATGCCAGATTACTAGTTCAAGTCGACCTACCGATAACCGACTCCGTCTAAGTTGCAGTTGCACGAACATCATCGCTTTGAAGTCCCATGAGTGAATTCAAAGTAAACTTGAAGATGATTAGTACTATCTATATAAAGCTTATGATAAGCTCTACATACGATCTGAAGATGTATCCACTGATCGACTCCGATGTATGTACTTAATCTCGTAACATACAGGCTTTATATATGACCATCATTTGGGTGAGAAGGCGCAGCCACTCGGTAAGCTCACGTATGCCTTTAAAAAATGACTGCGTTGCATGCAATAAATTCCAAATGTATATTGCACATCCGATTATGAACTCCAATTTCATTGAAACAACATGCCAGTGATTGATTACTGACTCAATTTGCAGTGGTTCGAAGCCTGACTGAAAACTTTGCACAAAGTGTTTAGACGTACGTTAGATGCTTTCACCCATGCTTTTTACAGAAAAGTTAGTCACCTCATGTCTCACAATTGCTACAAAGCCATAGTTCTTCTGCTTCTATTGGCTCAATGTTAGGATCGTGGCAGTCACGGTGCCAGTATGCACGACATCCCAGCTTCGGATCGCCCCCGCCACACCGGACCATCAATTCTCGTGACGTAACTCTATTACACTCTTCGCAGTAAGGTACGATTGCACTAACATCCCCCTCCATCTGTACCCTCAAAAAATACTCCTGACCGACTAGACCTGCCTGCTCTTGATTTATTATGTACGATCTTGCAGCAAGCAAAGTAGCCTCTAGACCTCGAAGGTATTGTCTGTCACTTCTATACGGCTCGTCGCGGGCTACCTCCAGATTGACCGCATACGATCTCAGATTCTCTGGTTCCGTGTCATCCGAATCCTCAACACTTTGGTTGGGGCGAAGAGGGTTACTGCACCGATCAATGAGAGAGCGCACCTCTCTTATCAACCCTTCGAGCCTGACCTTAGTTGACTCATAGTATCCGACGTAGCTACTCATTTCCCTTTCTAAGATCTCCTTCTCTTCGTATAAACGTTCCAGCATGTTGTTAGCTTCTACCAATTTGAGTTTCTCCCTTACCCCGAGTCTGCCGTTGGCGGAGCCTGCAAGCCCTGCATAGGCCCAAGGCATTTCCGCACCCTCTTTCATTATATCATCGACGTGGACGGGGCTAGCCGTTCGGTTCGAGTTTGTCGCCAGCCTAATCAGGTTATACTCGTCAACCGCTTTTTTGACCTCCTTTGTAACCTCTCGCTTTTTCTCCTTCATTCTGGTACGAAGCTTGTTAGTGTCAGCTTCCCGTGTCAAACGCTTCTGATACGAGAGAAAGCTATGAAGGAGCCCTTCAATGTGGTTCTCTAACGAAGCAAGTGTTTCTTCTGCCAAGGTCAGCCGGCACTGTAACCTCAGCGCCTGCACATGCTCTGACCTTTCCTCATCGCTCAGGCTTTCAAGGAGCCTATCGACCCGCATAGGCCCCTCACTAGCACCTTGAAGGCGTTTCTTTAGCAGCTTAACTTCCATCTCCTTCAGTTTTTGCTGTTTCGTGTTTAGACCTTCTCGTGCTCTTTGGGCAACCTCTCGGATCGTGTGCAACTCCGGCGAGCACATCAGAGCGTCAGCCGCCTCCATCTCAGCAACAGCCTGCAGCTTTTCAGAAGCATCTACCTCCACCACGAGCTTATAGTAATCGAGCTCGTCCTTGTCCGCATGACGAAGGTTCCGAGTAAGCTGAGTTTGGGCTGCTATTCTAACTTCGTTTCGGTACCTACCGATTGCACTTCGAGAAAAATCTGCCCCCGGAACAAGCGCTACTACTTCTTCGCACACTTTCTCTAGCTCGAATTTCGCCTCAGTGATCCGACTAGGGAGGGCCGCGTACCGCTCCATCAAAGACTTTGCCAGACCGTCAAGTTTTCGCTCGTTCCAGGCCAGTATGGCCTCCGTTAGCAACTCCTCCCGACCTGCAGGTAAGAAAGGCAAACAGGTCGTCAGGATTTGGATCTCGTGAGCTGGCACTCATTAAACAATTTGCGCGGGTCAAAAAATTGTACAGAAAAGGACTTAGTAAAGAGGGCGGCCCAGTTTGACACTCTTCGTATAAAAACATCGGTCGACTCAGAGGCCCCGACTCCTGTCAGTACCTTTTTTGATACTTGGACCAAGTCTCGAATAAGGCTCCCTAAGCGACTATAAAACATGTTGAAACGAGTCAGTCTCTACCCGTTGGTAGGCCGGCCCATCCCAAGGACAAGTATTAAGGCGCGCAATAGCCAACTATGAGCGCCGTCAAAAGTCCTCATCCTTTTCGAGGTCCAGTTATATTAGTTTCTCTAGATTAGACGGCAGGCCCGTGGTGTCCTTGCAATCAATATAGGTCAACGGTATTCGACGAGAAACTTACTTGCTTCGCTCATGTTCTTTGTCGTCGAACCAAAGAGGGAGAGGTAGGCGAAGATCAACTCCATGTCCTCTCCCGATCCTGCTCCGGCTCCAACCTGATGACGTCCTCCAAACAGCACCTACGGCAAGAGGCAGAAACGTATTAGCCGATACGAAAGAGCTTTCCGATGGACTGTTCAAGCGAGACCCTCAACGAATGGAGACCGTGTTAACAGAACAGGTTCTTTTCACCGTTGATGTTGAAGATTGGATTTAGTGAAGACAACTGCTCATAGGCGGAAAGCGGTTTTGAAGGCCTTGAGGAATACGGCTCAAAGAGTAGTTTCCAAGATTGCACCGGAAGGCGCCGGCGCTTCGAACCGACTCAAGCCCGTTCAACCGGATCGAGCTTAACAAAGCCATCAACCCGTGACCGATTGGGCTGTCCGGGACAAAGTCAACTGGACAAAAACAGTAGATAGCAAAGCAAACCGGCAGGCGGGTGACTGGCGACTGAGTCCGTCCACAAGGATACGCAACTGTCAGATCACGAACCATGCGGAATGAGCTTTGCCATCACTGAAGACTTTCTTCGCCGCCGCCTACAGTTTGGAAATCTCTAGAAGGCATTTCCGCTCTGCCGTGTTTTCCAGTCCTTACCTGGCAATACCACGAGTGCAGGTATCCGTGCATAATGTTCAGGAACGGTCGTGTTGTCTGGTCGTTCCGTGGAACTGGACAGCCGGGCACCTTCCCTTTCATAGACTCCTTCCATGGTTGGTACTTGCAGATGATGTCCTCGGCAATGAAGGACAGGCTGCCAAGCTGCTGCATGAAGTAGACGTCGAGGTAGTGTGCGTAGCCATAGCGCTCACCGGACCTGTTTAGGAAGGGGAGAAAAACCGTTTCGACGAGATGCATCTATCAGGAATCCGTGGGAATCCAGAGACCCTGCACCTAACCCGCTAAGATTCAAGATTGCCGCTTCACTGAGGTTTGTCCTTTCCACACCATTTGCTCAAGACTATTCAGTTGGCACCTCGACATGCAAGACTGAAAAGCGACGTCACAGTGTGAGGCGTTGCACGCAATCAGAGCGCGCCGCCAGCAATACTGAGCTCAATCAAGGTTCTAGACTAAGAGAAGGAAAAGCGGACCACGTCGCTGAAAAGAGTCAGAGACTTTAAAACAAGTTAGCTTGGAGTCACACAGAAAAGTATTTACCGGTTTGAAGCTTTGGGCTACACTCGTTAGAATTTTCTCGACCGAAGCAAGGGTTGGTTCGGTCTTAATCAAGGGCCAACTTCGTCGCATGCAACGTCGTGCTGTTCGTACGTGGACTTTCTACCCCCTCTTTACGTCTGTACGTCGTCCTGGCGAATCTTAATGAAGCTTACCGGATCATGTTGACCGCTCGTTGGCCAATTTGGTGTCGGCATCCACAAGCGACGATGCCCGTCTCTTGTTGACCATCGATCGCGCTCTTGGAATCTTTGGCCGCCTTCCATTCACCCTTCCCGCAGCTAGTCGGAGGCAGCGTACCGGTCCCTACAAACGAAAGTAAGCAGACGTCATTTTGTAAATAAACCCATTCAGGTCCGTCAAAACAGAGGTGAGACTCGCGGATCGGCCCGAGGGCTCAAGGAAAGCAAGCTGACAATCTGCCAGCTGAGACCTTGCGAGAACGTTTTCGACTCTTTAACGAATGCAAGCCCGAAGTCAGGTTCAGCAAAGTCATTGATCTGGCCCACGTCATCAGGTGCGCTTGTTGGAAAGAATACACCCAGTCCTTCAGGAAGAATCGAGTGCGGGCCACCTTCGCAGATACCAGAACCATAGGGGACTACGTTGTACTCCGAGATCTTGGCCTTCAGAAATTGATCAGAGTAACCGTCCGGACTGCGCTTCTTTTGTGGTCGCCTTGACAAGGACGCAAAGGAACGCAAATTAAGGAAGCGTTGCATGTGAAGGGATTCTAATGGAGCGAAATTGAAGAATGAAAGCAAGCAACTTTAGAAGTGCTGACATCATGTCCGTACAGACTGTATGATGTCCCGAAGTGAGCCTGGCGACCAATTTCCAAGGTTCAGAAGTAGGCTCTTTCAGTTGGGGGACCTGCAGGGCCGGATCTGTTGGGCTATGCGAAACGCAACATTATCCTGCTTTTTCCATTTGGATGTCCAGGTTGAAACAACGGTTCGATCACTAAGCTTCAGCAGCAAGAAAGACCCGCTTACAACGGTGAAACTTAGGTGACAAACTTGGTTACCTGATTGGGCGGTCCTGCGATTCCGCCCGCCAGCCAGGTCGAGCGCCTCCATGTGCGCAGCAACGCTGGTCCGTTTTGCGAAGAAGAGGTCGTCGTAGTAGGAAGCGCGCCACATTTCGTAGTTGCGGTCCCAGCGGTACAGCTTCTTGTTGCCATCCACCGCGCAGACAAGTTGCCACTTCCAGCATGCTGGGCACTGAAAACCATTCCGGTACGCCGCGGGGTACGTCCTCTCATACTTGGCAAACTTCCACTCATTGGCAGCTGTCCGAAAGCTCGTCGGATTGATGGAGCCCACCTGCATAAGAGGCCAGAAAGAGTATGCCCCTCCCTGTTTGGTATAACTGTCCTAGTTCGCAGATCATCGAGGTCGTTGGCATGTGCCTGCAGGGGAGTTGACTACTGCACAGAAGTTTAAAGACCCAGCTTGTCATAAACTAGATGGAGGCGGGGCAAATAATCAGACCTTTCTAAACGGTTTTGAAACGGCCATGAAACGGCCACTCGATAAGTGCCCTTTCATCACCTTGTACTGCATGTTTGAGCAAAGTGCCGGACATAACAAGCTGGAGACTTGGCACTCAGATTGATTGAACTGAGCGCCAATGCGTGGTTGCAGAATAGTATGAGCGGCAACGTGCTTGGATGGTCGATACAGAATATGCCACAAAGAGACTTGAACGAAAAGAGTGATTGGGCAAGTTGGTCAGAAGAAGAAAGCAACGTTAAAGCGGGTTTATTGTCAGGTTTAACCTGAATCCTCGATCAGTATACTAATCTTCGCTCTCCCATGGAGCTCAAAAACGTGATTGTCTCCAGGCTCAAAGACATGCAGGCAAAGGAACCCCAAGTCAACCAAGTGGGCAGAAAGAGACACTTCCTAGAAATTGATCCGACATACAGTAGTCAGTATCACAGTTAAGCTTGAGAATGTCCACTTGGAAGACCATGTCTGCAGAACACCTGTGTGTGCCTGCCAAACTACATAAGTTGAAAGCATCAAGAAGAGAAAGGCTTGAACCATCTTTCAGAAGAACTCCATCAGAAAGCGATATGACTTACCCCTCCTCGGTCCTTTGTCTTTTTATCCAGGCACCGAAGGTAGTTGGTGTACGCTGTTCCAGGACATGACTTGGAGAGAGTGTCCCAAAACCCCAGAACGCCTTCACTGTAAACCGTCTCAAACCGCGCGTTGTCCACAGTGCCTGGCCACAGTCCCATCCGCAGCATGTCACGGGGCTTTTGGAGCTGAAGCGCCCCGCACACCGAGCCATCCTCCTTGACTGCGTTACAGTGGCTCAGGCCTTTCACAAACTCAACCCGCCCTGCTTCCGTATGCACCAAGGTCAGGGCTTCAGTTGTTGCCCTTGGCTCAGACCAGCTTGTCTCACCACAGTGTCCACAAGGCTCTTGAGGCTTGCAAGGAAAACACTTCGGGGCGTGCACCCGCTGCCCCTCTTGGATTGTGACGCCTGGCGGGAGCGCCTCCCAAAACCCATTCAAGCAGGAGGCGCGATCATGCGTGTGCGCCCACTGGTGCAACTCAAGATCATGATCCGCGCACACAGCCCCGTTGCTGCCCCAATTGCATGTATTACATCGAATGACCGCAAGCCCGGCGCAACCCTCCATGCTGCATTTTGTGTTGATCTCTAACGGGGCGGCCAAGTGCATGAGCTCCCGAGCAAGATGGGGGCGCAGACTCTGAAAAGCTTCAGCCTGTACCTCTTGCCGTCGCCCCCACTCCGTCCGAGAAGTGCCTGCACCCCCTTCTGCCTGGCGTGCCCGCGCAAACCGCTCTTCCCTACGGACGTCCTCTGCCAGCTTATGGGCAGCTTCAGCGGCACGCTCAGCCGCAAAGTCCATGTCATTGGCACCGCCATCACCATAGTCGTGCCACTCTTGTGCCCCAGACTGGGGGCCCCTGTCACTGTGTCCCTGACCCCCAACTGAGTCCTGGCCAGAGGGGGCAGCTCGTCTCGCAGGCGGATCTTGCCGGACGGCCTCGTCAGTAGGAGGCTGACCAGCTGCAGTGTGTCCCTCAGCTTCTGAGCTTCCATCATGCTGGCTGCCTTCTGCAGGCACAGATCTAGATCTAGCCCTTGATGGCCGGCTCGTTTGTGAAGCACTTCCAGGGCCTTGAGCTGAAATGCTTGGCTTCCTTTTGGGCTTGGCAGCATTTCGCAAAGCTGCCACGCGGTCAGCTGCCCGAGCAGCCTCTGCTTCCAAACCTAGCTCCCCTTCCAGCTCTGCTTGAAGCTCCTCCACCTTTCTTTTCGCCCTGCTGACTGGAGACAGACTGTCCATGGTGAAGAGGTATTAAGGATCGGCCAGTTAACCTTCACTGTAAGCCAATGCTGCAGCAGAACGGATACGCTCACTAGCTGAGGCGTTTGAGCAGCTTTAAGGTCCTTGGACGGTGACGCCAGATCTGATCTAAGCCAGATCTGAGTTGCCTGAGGAGCAACCTTCCGATGTATGCCACTTAGCTAAGTAGTGCTTTAATACTATTAGTGCCAGCAATGCGTGAGCAAGGCGGCAGATGAGGAGTGCTGGGGGATCAGGAGCTCAGATTCATAATGCTCGGACTAGGTAATCCTGAGCAATGTTCCTGCAGCAGACGTTCCAAATGGCAGTTTTGTGTGCTTGGCCAACATGTTGGACGGAACCCTAATCTTCGTCTGTGTCCGCTGGCTACAGACCGGCTTTACCGCGTTACACCGGACCAAGAATAATTGTTTCCTCGTGGAACATTAACACGGTCCAAAATGTAGATAAGGCTGACATACGGGCTGGACCCGGCTGTCAAGAAAAGTGCTCCCCGGTAACATTCATCCCCAAGCTTTCCTACGATGGACAGACGATCGTCGTCCGGGACTTAGCTCCCGAGACGATCCTGCTGCAGATATGTTGGTGGTACATACATAAGGAAGAGGATAGTATGTTCGCGATTTATACAGTTGCATGAAACGCTGATATGTATCCATAGCGACACATGACTGTATGCTGTACACACTTATGACGGTGCATGCTTATGTATGTTTTCTGTACGTAAGGGTATGAGAATGGGTTGGGGTGCGTGCTACGTCAGCAGAGACTCGGTCGGTCTGAATAGCCCAAACCGGATGTCGGATGTCAATTTCGGCACCCGGGTTCGCGATTTGCCCGTGAAACCCCACATCCCGATTTTGGTCTGAATAGGCCCTAGGTATCACCTACTCCAGTTGAAAGTTCCGAAGTTGGGAACACTGCTAGGCCGGGTCGAAACAGCGCGGTACACTTTGGACCGGGCAGCTCAATAAGCATGCATATAGCCTGTGACAGTGCCCGGTGGTCTAGCCGGTAGCTACATTAGCTCTCGGCCTACAAAGTTGAAGGGCCAAGCCGCCCCTAACACCAAGGTTCCGACCTACGACACGCGGCGGTTTCTGAATGGATCTTATCCTGCAAACGAATCTTGCTGAAATGCCCCGACCACTTCTCCATCAAGCAACCGGGCGGAGTTAGGGGCGGGGTTGCAAGCTACTTCAACAACGCTATGCATGACATCACAGGGGCACCGGCGGCCCCGTGAAAGTGGCACATCATAAGAATATAGTATCTTGACGGTTGGAGTCGCATCCTGAACCGCATAGTTTATTATACCGTTAGTACATGGTCGGCCTATGATCCTCACTTCCACGTACGTTTTAAGATCGAGTTAGACGTGCAATCCCAACATGCTGGTGGTTGCGACGACTTGATTGCACGTGACCGGTGTAGTATCCAGTAGCAGACTCAGGGGCATTCCGGGTGTAAAGCAGCGAAACAATCTGGTTACTCAGAGCCAACGTTGTGACTGCCCGGCCGAACCACTATTGACGGTTATAGCAGTCGGATTGTGATTTAGGGCGATTAAACTCTTCGAACACACACGAACAAAGTACAGGATGGCCCCCATGGCCTTGTCCACGCTGTCACAAGAAACTCGTTAACTGCAGTCCTGAGTTGTCCACCTAACCACCTGACTCGACACGACTCGACTCGACTCGTGCTTACCTCGTCTACCTTCATCTAGTAAGCACACACCAATCACTTGGAAAGCCAGAACGTACTAGCACAAATCCAAACAACCTGCCTGCTCCTCTGTACACTACTCGCTAGCCTTCAACATCGACTAGATGTACATGTCTGCTTAAATACTCGCTACATCTAGCCAGCTAGCTAAGAAGAGCCCAACTATGCTACAGTCCTGCTTTCCAGTTACAGTTTCCTAAGATTCGCTGGCCCTGTGGTGTTCCCAAACACCGACAGTGCAATCCCACTGCAAGAAGAAAGCAAAAAAGCTCAGTCGGCTTTTTTTTTCTATCTAAGAGAGAACCAGGAACAATTTATCTGAAAGAACCAGGAACTCTCACGAGATGCCGGGCTTTTCAGACCAATCAATCAGCCCTGATCCGACTTCAAATCGATCTGAGTACCATCCCAATCACACTACTGCAATGAACATTCTCAGAGGCAGATGAACTACACCGACAGACTGGCATCAATCACTGCATGCCAGCTCGGACCAGTGGCCTTGAAGCAGGTCCCGTTCATTCCCACGACGTTAGGCGATACTGAAGAAACTCTTACCACTCCGTATTCGAGGCCCAACTACGGCTGCGACATTCCGATACTCACCGAGCTCGTTGCGAGGAGGGGCAGCGTCGGGTGCCACGCCACGTCGCGCACGGTGGCAAAGTGTCCGCTCAGCTTGCGGACCGTCTCCCCGGAGACGACGTCATAGATGTACACGGTGCCGTCGGTCGAGCCGGTGTAGATGTAACGCTGCCCGGTGCTTTCCACCGGGGAGAAGTAGGCGCGGACCAGGGTCTGCAACACGCGGTGGCCGCGATACCTGTAAGGAATGAGGAAGCGGGTTTTAAGAACCGGGTTTTAGTTCTGAAGCGGGCTTGACTGCGTTGTCAAGCGTTGCTTTCGACAGGGGAGAAGTAGGCGCGGACCAGGGTCTGCAGGACGCGGTGGCCGCGGTACCTGAGAAGAAAAGCAATCAGGCAGGTTTAGAAACCGGTTTGGGTAACTTCCGTTTAAAAACGCTACTTTCATTCCACCGGGGAGAAGTAGGCGCGGACATGTGCCTGTCTCGAAACATACGCCTCCAAAGCAGTTTCGGATGGTGGCACAAAGAAAGCTGCAAACACAAGATGACAGAACTGCCCTTTCATTCGTCAAAAAAACCTTCACATGAGAAACGAGATCGCGAACTCACGTCTGCAGCGACGTGTCGTTCTTGCAGGGCCCCTGGTGGTTGCGCGGGGAGTGGTCCTCCCAGCGGTAGTCCCAGTAGCGGCGGGCCGGCACGTGGCCCTTGTCGATCTTGCTGGGGTTGGTCATGCGCCGGATGTCCCACAGCTTGATGCTCTGGTCCTTGCTGTTAGTCAGCAGGTAACGGCCATCCCCCTGGTATTGAAAAACGGTTTGTTAGATTCGAGTGGAGCAGAAACACTGAAGGAGAAAAAATGGAAGCTGCAAGTCGATGATATATCTGTCTACTGACTTGCTGTTGATCAGCAGGCGTTGCTGTTTATCAGCAGGTAACGGCTGTCCTCCTGGAACAAAAGGAGGAGCTGATGTCAGAATTTGAACGAGCAGAAAGGTTTTGCAAAAGGGCGCCTTGTGACGCTATGGTTACAGAGGAACATTCATTGGGTTTTCCAACAATGCGCGGGAAGTAGTGCCCATTCTCACGGCAAAGGAGAAGCTTATTGTATCAAGAGAGACTTCTCAAAGTTTCAGAGGTGACGAATAAAATCGGGACGAAGCGAAGGCAGGACCTCTTGGTCTTCTTTCTTTGAGAGATGGAGGCTGAATGATCTTATCAAAACGCTGATTTATAAGACTGTCTTTTCGACATTTCGAACGTGGAAACAGTCACAAAGTCTGCAACCGTCCATAATCTTGCTGTTCGCCAAAGGCAGAGTGAACTCTTCTTGCGAACAGTTGCAGCATCGCTTACCTTCGAATTTACGTGGGTGATACCCTCGGAGTGACCAACTAGCACTCCTACGGCGTCATTAGAGCCGCCCTTAAGCAGGCGCCGATCCCAAACCTGCAGAGAAAGTAGCGGATGTCACGAGCTTGCTCGAACTCGGATTCAATGGCCCTGATTTATACTGCATTTTGCACTAAACTACGAGTACAAGGATTACAAAGGACAAGCTGTGAAATAGTTACGATTGCTAAGACAATCTAATCAGGAATGATCAAGAATAAACCCGGACCTAGAGTGGCTGACCTTGCAAATGCCGTCATCTGAGGCCGAGTAAAACATGGAGGGGCTGTCCTCAGCGAAGCACACGCTGTTCACGTCGTCCGTGTGCGCGTCTACGACGAGCGTCGGCTTTTTAGTCTCAATGTCGTAGATGTACACGGAGTTGTCGCTGCTGCCAGCGATGATCTCCCGGCTGTCGGGCGAAAACTTGATGGAGAAGAGGCAAAAATGGCGGGACTCCGGTCTGCGAGAAACGGGACGCGGTTTGAGTTAAGACATGACAAGGACTTCTGAAACTCGGAGGACTTGAATAAAGGGAAAGATGACTAAGTTGGAATCAAACATAACCAGGAACTTTGAAACTCGGACCTGGATACGGGGAAAGATGCAGTAGAACCAAACAGGCTTGAAGACGAGGAAACATAGCAGCCGGTCTTGCATTTGGAGCAGGAAAGGGCAGAGCTATAGAGCTGAGGACTACGATTGTGAGGAAATACAACAAAGGCATGTGTGCATTTGACAGGACACAAAGCTGCTCTGTACATATGTTGAGGCTTCCAAAGGAGAGAACTGACTCCTCCAGGATTGGGGACCAGACCAAATATGTAGCGACTGGTCTTACAAGAACCACCAAGCATGCCTCTCAGAAAAGGCAACAAGACAAGAAGGAAACAAGCAAGTCTACAGCCCCAACCTATATGAAACAAATGAAGCCCGATCGCAACGGGAAAATCTCTCACCTAAAGTCTAGGGCCTCGTGGAGCTCAAACTCCGCGGCCACATTGCATATGTGGACGAAGTTGGACCAGGACGAGTAGATGATCATGCGCTGGTCCGGGCTAAAGTCGGTATCTACAATGCTCCAGCCGACGTCGCGCGCCACGACGTCCTTGAAGGCCTTTTGCTCGGTCAGTGTGTCAGTGTTGTACAGCCGGATGTGATGGTCTGCAAGAGTATGTTGAAATAAGCGGTTGATGTCTTGCTGGGTCACATTTTCAAATTTGAAAGAGGGGAAGCATGTGTTTGTTTGAAGTCAGGACTGCAATGTGAAGCCCAAGGTCGTGTCACTAAATGTAACAGTCAGAGGGTTAGCAGAGATTAAAATCCTTGTCATTTGAGTATGCAACGCTTGCTGTTCCCTAGTGCTTTCCAACCTAGTATAAGGACCTGACTCTGAAGCTTTGGTTTTTGGTTAAAGGGAGAGAGTGAATCTGACTGTGTTAACCCATTCCTGGGGGAAGGGGTTAACAAAATATTCGAGGTTAGGAAGAGATATCACAGAAAAAACAGCTCAAGAGGAGAGCGCAGGTGGCGAATCAAAGATCTGAAAGGGAAGTCAAAACCATTATCAGAGACTAATAGGGCTTTACATTTGAAACACACCAGTCAAGCTGCAAGGGACAACAGCATCCTGAGAAGGCGCCAAACGGCCCAAACTCAAGGTTGCTCTGGAAAGGTGAGAGACACATTGTTTCCCACATGTGTCAGGGACTGGACAGGGGGAACACAATACACAAACAAAGAAATCGATAAAGAGAAGGCCAGAGAAGCGAGGCTCAAACTTCCCCAGCCGCAATGCAAAGAACCATCACAACCAAGTCGTACCTTGGCATGCGCTCATGAAGACCGTCCCATCCTTGCTGAACTGGCCGCAGAAGGCCTGGTTGTTGTATTGCCCAGCAAAGCCAGACAGCTTATTGGGCATAAACTGCTGGCTCATGAGCACCTTGGACCCCCGCCGAAATGCGCCCCCACTCTCCCGCTGCCGCAGCATTCGGAAGACATTGTTTGGGGGGGTAGAAACACTAGAGGCGAAGGCCCTTGGGGAAGGGGGGGACAGGGCCGCATGGTCCTGCAGGTGGCCATTGGACTCAAGAGTTCAGTAGTGAGAAGAGTAGTCTTGCGTGAAACTAGGCTTGAAATAAAACCAGGGTGGACTGTGACCTCAAAGAATATATTGTACATCAGGCTTTGCTGTGGTGATAAGCGGGGCAAAGAGTGCGCCTCTGACTGCGGGAAAGTGAATTGCATCGAGGGGTTATGGCCACGGGCAGTGAGCTAAACCCTTGTCCGAAAAAGCTGTACCACAGAGCCCTTTGCGAGGATGTGCCCCTTGGGAAAATGCTCTCAATCTTGAATCACTTCAAATATCCTTTACACCGCTTGCGGCACAGACTTTGTCTCAGGCAGGGACACTGCAGGGTATTGAATTGGACAAGCAAACCGAACACACAAGAAGAAAAGAAACCCATCGCACAGGATACAAGACTCTCCCACATTACGTTGCCAATGAGCTCTGAAACAAAGAGCTCAACTTCAAAGCCAATCACGGTGGTGCAGCTCAGCTCGTGGTGCGGACTCTGGGCTTTCCATAAGATATGCCAGGATGAATGCAGGAGAATAGACAATGCATTTGCTGAACACTAGAGATTGTTGCTGAACACCGGAGATTGTTGCATAAGCACCGTATTAAGAATATGTATGCACTCACCTTAGCATCCGGGGGACTCTTGCAGCACGCAAAATCTGTCCCCTTTGGGCTTGACCCGGGGGAGACGTAGTCAATCTCCTTCTTGTGCTTTGGAATATTCCTAGGGCTCGACCCAGTCGAGATTGACAGATAGTTTTCTTCACAAGGGTGCGGGTGCGCCTGATGCAGTCGGTAGAGCGACTGCTGCAGCGCACCCGTAAACGTCCTCATCTTGCCCGGTACTTAAGTAAAAAGGGAGCGGTGGTGGAGCTGGGGAGACAGGGTCTGCAGGAGGGGAAATGCAATTTGAGCAAAGTGTACTAGCTCTTCATCCAGAAACTCGCGTCTGCTCACTGCAGGTGGCAATGTGGGGTTTCCAGAGAACGGAAAGGTAAAACCAGGTGGCCGGTACGCGAAAAGAAGAATGAGGTCACCAATGTGGAATGCATAATCAGAAGGGGAATAAGGAAGCGTGCCGCAAAAGGGTCCAGCCCTGCAAGTGTTTCAAACAGAAGAAATGTTGTAGTGCCCCAGCTTTTGCTGTCTGCCGACTACCTATGGTGGCCAGATAGTCGACCGGGCAGTATAATCGTCTTTGGACTTGTCCATTTCATGCACACAAACCAATCAGCACTCCAGTGCACATTGCGTAAGAATTTCTTGAGTCATAGGTCTAAGTCTCCTCACGTTTTCATGTTTATGTAGGTGTTGGGGTCGGACACTGCAATTGCGGCTGCTGGAGCTCATTATAGACTTTAAAAGAAGTGCTCGACATAAACTCTCGGAAAACAGAGCTCTTTAAAAGAACCGCACTCGGCCGGGCATCTGCAATCTCTAAGCAGACTCTACTGTTTGCAAGACTCTCAAAAAGAAATCAAGCTCTTGGCACTTCCACTAAACAAAGATCACCTGATTTTGAGCTCTTTCCTTCACCCTTATTAAGAGATGAAGATACGGAAGACAATCAACCAGGTTTGAGACTCGATATGAACCAAAGGGTTAGGAGTTGATTGCAAACCAGGGCGTGTACTTAAATACAAGCCGTGCGCGACTCCTAAACCACTTATTACAAACAAGGAAGGACTCAAAGACAACCGACCGTCGGCCCTGCGCATTCAACATCCACAAAGACCTAGTGAAGAGCATGCACTTTGTAACAATGCGTGCAGGCAACTCACTCAAGCGCACATCCAGGTTGGCGCTCCGTTTGAAAATCCTCTGTTGAGATGCCTCGATCTATGCACGCAGGTTCCTAGCTTTAAGATGGTAAACTCTGAACCTAAGGGCTATCACGACGAGATTCAAAAATATTTATGAGAGTTTTCAAAGAACGCCAGGTCAAAGATTCATCCGCCTCCTTGCTGTCCTCCTGAATCTTGTGTGGAGTCCTTCAGCAGTCTAGAAAAGCTCTCTCCGAGCCTTCTGCACGAAGAACGAAGGCGAATGAAAAGCAGAAAAGGGCACAACCGAACTCCATGGAAAAGGGACGTGGCTGGGTAGCGCACTCCAATGTTCGTGCAGAACCAATGCTTATCTGCTTCCTCTCCATGGTTTTGACCTCGACTCCGCTCGTGCGAGGCGGAAGATATTGAAACCGGAACCTTCTAGTCCATTTGTCGAAAGGACAAAACCAGAAATCGCAGCTCTAGGTTCGACGTTGATAATTTTTGATATCTCACTAGGTGTTTGACATGTCAGCTCTCACGTGTACTTTTGAAACTGAAGAGGATCAGCATTCAATGATTGTTTCGGCCGCGGTCCGGGAAATAGGGTTTTCGTCCGCATTTGCATCTTGAATTGCCACTTTTGTCGTCCAAACCCTGAGCAAACCCGGCGTGGTCAGCTGGCGGCGCCCGGCCCGAGCAAGGACGGTATATACGGACGGACGGTCACGGTTAATTACTCTAGCGCGCCGGCGGCGCACGCGCCCGGGCGCCGGCCCAGATCATGATCCGCGATCGCGCGCTCACTGACATCAGATCTGACTAGAGAACCTTTGTCTAGTCAGCTAGGCCCATCTGGCATATTTTGAGCGCCACTGACGTTTGCTGGCAACGAATTGCACAAAGGTGCACAAGCTTGGGCAGCCTGAAGCACAAAGGCCGCATGTCATTTGGCCCGCGCTGTGCATCATGGCTTGCCGCGCATGCAAGGATGACCATCGGCGAAGGAAATGTCCCCGGCAATCCGAGATTGGGCCTAAATTGCAAATGAGAAATAACGCGTTGTGCAGAACGCAAAAAGCCACTGCATTAAGTTTGTGCATTGCAAATGACCATTTTCAAAAAATGGCGTCGTCCGGTCAACGAGGTAAAAATTGGGATGGTCGCAGCCCCAAAGAATATATCATTGATCTCAGATCGCCAGCTAATCGGACGAGGTTGGGAAATGGAACTAATACTAGCCTCGTGGGCCACGCACGACGGCCTACGTGCACTACCGTGACTACGTCCATAGCATGCCGGCATCAATATCGTCAGCTGAGGCTGGAGCGTCGTAGTCTGTCGTCAAGGGCCCGGCAGCCGTCAATATGCACGAGTTATCAAATGTTATGAAGCGTAGATGACGGACTAACCTTTCAATCGAATAAAGGTGTGCGACGACAGGCCTTAACCCTGGTCAGGTAATTCCGAGTTTCAATCGACCCCAGGAACTCTCAGTGACTTGTAAATATACACGGACTGACTATTCGCCAACCCCGTCAGAGCCACGGGGGCCCTCCCGCACTTCTCCACTTGAAGACCGGGCATGAGAGTCCAGACGATCGAAGGGCCTCCTTCCTAACGGCCGCCCCTCTATCCAACCCCTCCTCTTTCTTCGCTCTATCCAGCACCTGTATTTGATACTCCGATCCGTTAACGTACTTCGGATGCGAAACAGGCTCGACACCTTTCCACCATAGCCAAAAGGCTTGCCAGTAGATCCAGAGCGCCGTTTTGTGTGGCATCAGCCAGAGGAACGCCTCCGGGTGTCTAACCTCTCGAGTGACTTTCGTGGCTTGCAGCGAGGCCGTGAAGTACGGACCGAGGTCGGGGTGCTTCGCGATGAACGTCAGCTCGAGTTTCTCGCCCGGGGGGGATGCTCTTATGGTCCAGGAGCTCGACATGTCCTGCAGGAAGATGGTGACGTGGCAGTTCAGGACCGGCCACGTGGGACTTCCGTCCGCAAAAAAAGACTGGGAGTCAGCGAGTCTGGTCTAGGTTAACATTGAAAGCCTCACCAATTCCTAAAGATGTACCAGGCCACCAGACTACTCTCAGCTGCCGTTGGTCATCCGGACAATGTCGGCTGCCGGAACTCGTTCAGAGGGTCACGGGAAGCTTCATCCAGCACAAAACATTTCAAAATCTGCGAATCACAGCTGACTACCTGAGACTTTGTAATCAGCGATCTACGAACCAATGGAGCGAAAAGGAGGGGAAGTGAAGACTGAAGAGAGAAAACGGTCCACAGGTACTTAGATGCAGAGAGTGACGGACAACAAGATGGAGGTATGGAAGACGAAATGTCACACCGCCCCCCTCACCATAAACGGGCTGACGTGCAGTGGCTTGGGGACAAGGTCGCCGTTCGGATCGAATGTAAAGAGGACTCGCTCTCCCCACGGAGTGTTTGTTACCTGCAACGAGACCATTGAGCAAGGTCGGGCTTCCCAAAAAGCTTCCGGGTTTGGAGGTATTGTCATTTCGATCTTCGATTCTGGATCCGAAAGGCTTGCAAAAAAAGTCGTTTGTGCATGCATCGGGCATAGTCCCACTGTCGTACTTCACTGACGGAATCCCGAATAGAAAAGTCGGCTCAATCTGGTCGGAGTAGAGACACGCCTCCCCCGTCTCACTTCGACTACGACTGACGCCACGTCATCATTCTGATGTCAGCCCTGATGTAGATGCACGAGGCAGACTGTACCCAGCAATCTCCACCGACTTCCAGAGGAAATAAAGTGAAAAATGATTTACGATATCGGGCGAGAGTGATTTACATCCCCCTTTGGGCGGGGCCTCTTCGTGAGCATCAGAGAAACTTCATGTAAGAACCTATGGAGACGGGAAGACCAGGTAACGCGGGGCGAACTGTAAGCCTACCTCGCAAAGGTCGAGCTTACCATCCAAAGCAAGAAAAAGCATAAGGAGGGAACATATGAGAGTTTACCAAGCGCTCGTCAACGCACCTCGGCAATGCAGATCGCCAGGCCGGATGGGGGCGCATCCCGATCCTCGTAGCAGTAGTACACGCTGATCGGGTTCTGCTCGTAACCCACGCTGACCGGGTTGGTTAGTAACCAGCTGCGCAGGACGAAGCGTCAAGGAAGGGCAGCGGAACGAGGAGTGTCCTTCTCGATGGGACAAATGCATGTCGGGATATACAAGGACATACACAAAAGTCGAGCTGTTCCATCGACGACAAGCGCCACAGCCTTCTTCGGAGCATGGATGGGCAAATCGTCAGGCCCGTTGAAGGTCATTCATTCTCAAAAAGCCTGCTCTCTACTCGCAAATTCAGTGCCAAGATCGATGGCAAAACCTGATTTCGAACAGCGGTTTGTGGTGACGGGTTTAAATAGCACACCGACCTTGTTAGAAGCTTTCGACAGGCCCTCAGAGTCGCCAGGAATAAATCCGATTACAACTTTCGCGTCTGCGTGACCTTTTCCCTCAGCAGGAAAAGAATCTTTTGATCGAAATAGAAGAAAAGCAGGGGAAGTGAATGAACCACCAGGAACTGAAAGCCTTATTTACAGGAACAAAACTGATCGAATTCACAGAGACGGAAGTCAGAGAGACATGCCCGTTCTCAAGGATACACAGCACCACTCGACCCAGCGTATTCCCGCGCCTCAGCCGCGCTCATGTGCAGGTCGGCGGACGACTTCTGGAACCACTCTGGACAATCGTCCAGGTTGACCAGGGCGTATCGGACGGTGTACTGGAAGAAGTGACTGACGGGGTGGACTCGGTGATGCCGAACTATTCCTTCGTACAGGCACAAGCTTTCGGATGGTGATGCGCCTTTGGATTGAGACGGCTGTCTGGCTGTTGAATCGCGTTTACAAGATGACTCGTTTCCAGATGGGGACCTGTCAGCGGCTAGCGACGAGCTGGCGGGAGTGGCAAGGTCGGGCGTGGTGGTTTGAGCGCTTGGTTTCTGCAATGGGAGGTATAAAAGATTGAGACTGACTAGCGCCCGGGCTGCAGAAAATTTAAGTGCCGCGCTAATGAGAGCAATTGAGGCCAAGCCGGTGACACTATCCCCCAAAATCCTTCTGAGAAGTAAGTTTCGAGATCGAGACCTGACGTTCAACGCGTCTTCAGACCACTTTGAAACAAACTGCCTTGTATGCACTGCCCAGAAAGGGCTGTTTCTGGCGAAGGAGAGTAACAATCCCCACCAACGTTGGGGGTAAGGCACAATCCTGCCTTTCAACTACCTCCCCCTCTCTTTTATTCTGAATGATATGAAGAGTGCATTGTCATAGTGAAGGACAGGCAGTGCCACTACTTGAACAAGGCTGGATATAAGATACTTCTTTGAGAGAACTTCGTTGCTTTGAAAAAGTCCCCCCTGCGAGTAACCCAACGAAGAATCCCCTGAAACAGGTTTGCTTATTCCGTCATTTGTCCGACAGTCAGTAGCGCCAGTAAATGAGAGACCTGGACATGGCCCTGGAGACTTTTCTTGAACAAGTTTTGAGCCCCACCTTTTTCCGTTTGCCAGCTTTTGATTGCGCTTCCTTCCTCTCAGCATTGCCGATCACAACCCAGTCCTGTGCCTCTGACCCAATAGCATCATCCTTTTTGGTGCCCCCACGTTGCTTATGATCACTATTGCAAAGTTCGGTATACAACCTGGTTAACCAACTTGCAAGGACCTGGAACCCCAATTTCAAGCTCAAAACAGTTGAGACGCAGAGTGTTCTGATCTGGAACAAGACCAGGCTGCCAATCTGGTGCAAAGTCTGGTCCATTCTTGTGGTCTCTGGCCCGCGCCCAAGGTAGGTTCTCGTCCAAGCAGGACATACCCACGCGGGGCAGAGCAAGTCACAATTGCATAGTCAATGTCGTCCGCAGAATCACATACCTATCTTGGAACTTTCATTGTGACCTGGAGACTTGACAAAGTCCACCCTTTTCTGCACAAGACAAGCTGTTCAAGGGCGGCCATTCCCCACCTCTTGTACTGCCCGTTTGCTGGTTGCCCGTCTGCACAATTGACAACAATTTCCCTCCCTAGCTATTTAATTTTAAGCTCTCGAGAGTTCTTTGCAGCAGGCAATGCACAGGAAAGGGGGTGTCCATGACCGGACAATATGAAACACTATCCGACCGTCCAGATCCTTTTTTAAAGAGGATACCATTTCAGGGCCGTTCGATAAGCGAATCCAGGGTAGTCCCTACCAACTTGATCATTGTTTCAGACATGAGGTGAGAGTTTCAAACTTCTTCGAAGAAATCAGATTCATGGTAATTGACTCTGAGCTGTGCTCTGGACAATCGCAGACGATTCGCCAGATTCCAGGCCAACAAATTAGGGCAGTGGTGGCGCGTGTTCAACAGGACGTGACATATTCTCAATGTGGTTGGTGGTCTGAGATGGTGGTGGATGGTGGTGGAACAATAGATAGTTTCCGAAGGCTGGAAGGTGTCTGCATTGTGTTGATCACAAACGGTGTCCAAACAGTTGACAGGACTTGGTGAAAAAAGATGCCCTAGCTCCTTCAGGAGTTTTTGAGGACCAGCGCATCAGGAGCGTGTGCCTGCATATTGGCGACAGAATATACTGGCAAGCGCTGCATTCTTCTCCACACATGGGGCTATGGTTGAGGCTTCCAGTCTTTACAATGGACCACTTCTTCTGCTTTATGTACGGAAAATTGCCGATTCCCATGACTTTTATCCGACTGCCCCCGACAACTGGTGACTGAAACTTTTGGCCACAACAGTTGGTGGTGGTAATCAGAAGACTCCACATTGACTAGGTATGTGTTTTGGACTCTCTGATTGGCCATCAGAATTCTCATCATACTTGGAATCTTTCAACCTGGATAGTTTCTGCTCTCTGCTTCTGCTTCTACATCTACTTCTACTTCTATTTCTACCTCTACTTCTACTTCTTCAACCTGTATAGGTGTCTTTGTGAGGTCCTAACTCCTGTTAGAAATTTTGACCGGGTTCACTGACGCTTATCGCATGAGCTCAGACACTCTCTGTACCTTACCAGAGTTCTCATTCCTGCAGGGCAATGAAAGCGAGCGACGTGCGCCGGCGGCTCCCAGGCAAAGCCTCTGCTGACGCCAGTGAACAGAATAGCCCTGAGGAAGGGGCAAAAGCTAGACTTGGTGACAAACCGACCACCCAATCTGTATCTTGGACACCAATCTTCCTTCTCTTGCTGGCGTCAAAGGTCTTGAGTGCCTTTCTCAACATCATCCACGACTGCGATGAAACATACAACTACTGGGAACCACTGCACTATCTGATCCATGGGTATGGACTCCAGACTTGGGAGTACAGGTAAGGTCGCTGCTCACGTCTGGAGATGAACTTTGCGCTAGTCACAATATCTCTCATGGTTTGGTCAAGTTCTGGGAGTGGAAGTGGTGTTGAGTGGGTGGGAAAGCTGGTGGTCTCGTCACATTGCAAGCAGATCTAGCGCTGTTTGGGGGCATGTTAGGTTGGGGCATGTTTGTTTCACCCATGATTGGCAACAGTAAAGCCCCACCCTTCATCACACATATTCAGGAGATGAATGGTGCCGACCATATCAACTGAAGAAGAAGTGAAGTTTGTTGCCCGCAAACGAGATTCCTGCTCGAGCCCGAACAAAAAGCTTCCGGTGAACTCTGTTCTTCTGGAACAAGACCTTCGTACCATCTTTCTACACCTATTTTTTGCCACTTCCAAACTTCGATCCTCCCTTTGCAGCGCTGAATTTGGCCTTCGGTCCTACCTCTACCTCCTCCTACACGCCGTCATTGCCTTCCCCGCCTCTCTGCTCTTTGGCGATGGCCCTGGCAAAGTATACACTTTCCTGGCAGTCCGTTTAGGGCTCGCTATTCTCTCTGCCCTCTCAGAGGCCTGGCTCGCCGTGGCCGCCTCTAGGTGGATGAAGTCACGAAGCCTAGGGTGGCTGACTGCGCTGCTATTGGCTGGGGGTAGTGGGACGTTCACAGCGAGCACGTGTAAGTCTTTCCTACTTTGACCTGCTCAAGTGATTCCGTTTCTCCGTGAAGAAGGAGTTTCTTCAAGCGAAGTGACTGTTGACCAACCGCATCTCGGAGAGGATCTGATCAGCAATTCCCGTTGACAAGTCAACACGACGTTTTGAGAATATAAACTGGCTGAAGAACGACGAGTCACGAAGATAATGCACTTCAGCTTGCAGATGCTCAATGGATCCCAATAGGGTAGGGGATCCGACTTTCGTTTTGTCCAAGGCATCCGTTTCTTCGGGCTTAACAGGTCGAAGAAGCACGCTTCTCGTGCCCCTTCCTTCTTTCTTGAACATTATCTCGAAAGGCCCACAATCTCCTCCTTCCTGTCAAGATATTGTTCTCTTACTCTCTTATCATCCCTTCGCCGCAGCTTTCCTTCCCAGTACCTTCTCCATGTACGGCCTCACAGCGTCCGCGGCCGCGCTCCTGTCCAATCGCCCGGCGACAGCTGTCGCGCTCGCGGCAGCCGGTGTAACCCTCGGCTGGCCCTTTTCCATCCTCGCTACCGTTCCGATCGTCCTTTTCGCACTCTTCACCGGGGGTTTCTGGAAGGTGTTTGCGGCAGGCGCAGTCGCTTTACTGGGTACTTTGGTAAGTCATTGGCCGTCCCTCTGCTTATCGCAGCACAAGTCAAGTAATTAAAGTCACGCTGTCTGCGATTGTTGTGAGTAAGTGTTTCGGACGATTCCGCTTCGTTGCAACCTTTGCCAAGTGGACCGGTCAGCCATCGACCGCCCCTCCTCCATAGATGTTTGCAGGTCAAGGCCTTTCCCCTTTGAGCGCCTGTTTCTTTGTAGACAGGTTTCTGGCCTTGCTTTCGCCAACTCTCTTAACCTTTTTCGGTGTCCTCCGCGCTTGGCGACCAATTTCTAACGTTTGGCTCCTTTGCAACGTCGTTAGATTTATCCCAAGAAAGTGCATCTAAGAAGCCACAGAAGCGGCTTCATTCCTGCTTTCGTCTTCTCGACTGTCCCTTGTCCGGGCTCCTTTCGTGCTTGTTGCCTGGTAATCTTTTCAGGCGCCCCGCACGTTTTTTTCTCGAACAACGTCCGAGAAAACAGCCAAGTCTTGCATGACGACAAAGCTATCGGATGATCTTTCGTCAGCCTACGTCATCTCGAATCGTTCTTTCTATTTTCTCGAATCGTTCTTTCTATTTTCGAGTTAGTAGCAAACTCGTGGTTTGCTACTAACTCGGCGGCTGGCGGGTCCCATTTTCAGATGTCGCTTGATGCAGGCCCGGGAGCCACGTCACAATTCGTTCCAGTTCTCTTGTCACGCTAATGTCTCTCCAATACTTGATTCTAGAATCTTTCCGGGCTCGTCGACCAGGTTTCTCCCAGGCGCTTGGCGAGTCTCCTTCCGCGCAACATTTGGACACATATCTTCACGACCTGCGAACACAGAACGTCTTCCTTCGTCATGCTGACGTCATGTACAGCCGTTCCCAGGTCCCTTCCGCTAACATCGACCGCTTCGTTTACGGCGCCTGGCGCAATCTCCTTTCGAACATCGTCAGATTACAGTTCCAGAAGATGCAACAGAATGAAACTAGCGTACCCTCTTTGCCATGCTTTAGTGACTACATATGTCCCCTTTTCAGGTCCCCTCCGCTCTCATCGACCGCTTCTTCTACGGCACCTGGCAAGTCTCCCTTTGGAATATCGTTCGATACAACGCGGGCGGCGGGGGCGATTCACACCTTTACGGCGTCGAACCGGCTTCGTTTTACCTCCGCAACCTGGTTAACAACTTTAACCTCGCGCTGCCCCTGGCTCTCGTCGCCCCAGTTATGATTCTGCTCACCCGGAAACCGGGTTACGGGAGGCTGCTGGTGGGGATAGCGCCGCTGTACTTATGGCTCGGGGCCATGTCGTGTTTACCGCACAAGGAAGAAAGGTGGGCGCAAAACCGTCTCCGTTACATGCGAGGGGGTGACTCTCTCCCGTTTGCTAGATGGAGTCTTTTTGTGAGGGAACTTTTGAACTGCAGCCGTAATTGTCCTTAAACGAACTCTGCTGCGTCACTTCCAAAACAGAATCCAGGCTCCTCTTCTTCGGTCTGAGCGCAGACCGACTTCAACAGTAGGTTTTTGTGTCGCAAAGGAGCTTCAGAGTGTAAACAATTGCGTAAGGCGTTCCCTGCTCTTGAAGCACCGCTGCCCGCCCTTCTTGCTCTTCCTGTTTGAAACTCTGTCCTTTCTTCTGCTGAGGTTGCCTTCGACGCTTATGCAATTGACTGGATAAGTTGTTTCTGAACCGTTCCAAAGGCCATGACTTTAACCAGCGAACTTATCCAAAGTCCCTTGTGGTGAATGTTTGTCGGCGAACGTCTGATTATTGTCATCCTTTGCACGAGAAGTCTATTCCTTACAACAGAAGCTTTTTGACAGGAGGCTTTTCCCTCTTCTCTCTTTTTTCCTACACTGTGAAGAATCTCGAGTCAAGGACTCAAGCTCTCAAACTTGTCCCCGTCAAGAGAAGAACCCAATCGAGGTGAAGGGGAACGACAAACCGAATTGCATTAGGGAGACCGTCGTAAAGCTTTGACCCTGAGCGCACTCTTCTGATGCAGGTTTCTGTACATTGTCTATCCCCTCCTCTGCCTGGCCGCCGCAGCTTCCTTAGCCTTCCTGCCAGACATTCTCCGCCATCCGATCCTTCGCCGCCTCATCCAAGCCGTCCAAACCAGCCTGGTTATCTTAACCCTCCTACTCTCCGCATCCCGAACCGCGTCGCTCCTTATCAACTACTCCGCTCCCTTCCCGATCTACCGCCACCTGGCAAGCCCTGCTGAGCTGGCGCACGCACGCGCGATGATGTCAGCGAGGCACGCGGCTGAAGTCACCCGCTCGGGACTGATGTCCGGTGACCAGACAGCCGAGGTCGCGCACTCGGAGTACCTGCTGCGACACGCGCATAGCTTATCCCCTGCGCACATAGCTTATCCCCCGGAGAGGGCCGCGGTGTGCGTCGGGGCGGAGTGGTATCGGTCCCCGGGGTCCTTTTTCCTGCCGTCTTCTGAGCATAGGTTAGCGTTTCTGGATGAGGGGTTTGGGGGTTTACTGCCGTTTCCGTTTAACGGAACGGCCGGAGGAACGAGAGCAAGACCGGGGTACTTCAATGACAGGAACCGGGCCAGCCCGGGACAGTTTTTGAGCGACCAAAGTAGGTGCGACTACCGGGTGGACTTTCGCCGGAAAGGGGAGGGTGGGAGGGACGATGACGACTTGTGGGAGGTAAGGATGGTTTTGATCTAGCTCGATCCGGGGATGCAAACGGACTTCGAGAAGGGCTTCCTCGGAAACTAAGAATGGTGTGTCCCGACGGGACGGGCACTATGCAACTTGACTTGTTTGAAACGTGGTTCCCGACGACTGCTGACTCCGCTTGCTACTGTCGAGACGCAAACCTTTCTGCGGGCTGCGCAAGTGGAACGGGCAAGCCATTGAGCCTGAAATGCCAATAAGAAGACGATCTATGTCGTTCTTATTGCGTCTAGGTTGCTAATAGTAAATTGAATATAATGGGCTTATAAGGCTCGGATAGATAACGCTTCTTACTCTGCAGCGCCCATATGGTCGCGTAAACCTTTCCCAAACCCTGTTTTGTTTGTACACTCTGATTCCCTGCAGAAGTGTACCAAGGACGATCACTGACGTTCTCCGATGTCAATATTCAATAATCAAGAACACATCAGACATCCGCCTGCGGATATCTACTATGGTGATCGTCAGTAGGAGCACAGCAGAGATCTTGATCTTTGATAGAGCAGGCGAGCGCGGTGAAACCCCAAAACAACGAGCCTTGCAAAACATTCTGCCAACTCCCAACATCCTCCTGCAGGTTGTCGCAGAAAGACCTTTTCTGGATGCGGCGAAGTCGCCAGCCCTCTCCAGGGCCTTCTACGTCCCGGGGTGGAGTGCTGCTAAAAATAAATTCGGGACGTATCGACTGAGTCGTCGAAAGAGATGAATAGCTTCTGGGCTTCGGTGTCAAAGACACGCTCAAACTGCCCATCGGCCGGTAGCACTTACGTATGAAGACGTATGAAGACATCGGTGCGCAACCGAAACAAAGACTCTTGAGAGCTTGCCCGCTTCCAAGTCCAGTGTGCAGACAGCACAACTTAGAGTAAGCTACCGGCCTTCGGCCTCCGATATGACCATCTTTGCTGCCTGGTCGAAGCAAGGCCCAAGCACAGCATGATGAACGGGAGAGGAAGCCGCAGCTTCATCAAACGGTGATCCGTTTGATCCACTTGATCATATGCCTACTGACGTTTCGAAGATGGCCGCGATCAGATTCGCACTCAGTGGCTGTCAGGCGAGGCGGTGCTGCATTACTGATGAAGCTCATTTCTACAAGTTGTGATGCCTGACGCTGTCATGTCCCGCCGCCGTCCGACTCCGTCATGACAGGCCATGGCTGTGACCCGGTACTCCTGTGCGACACGTGTCGCACAGGAGTACAGGAGTACACAAGTATTGCATGGCAGCACAGGAGTACACATGCATTGCATGGCAGTGGTACGTGCCGTTGAAATCGCGACGGTTGTGCATCTCCATGTCATGTATGGCCGGTGCTTCTATTGGTTTAGAGTATAATAGCTGAATAATGAGCGCCATGCATGCTAGCTGAAAAATCATATATGCATGTAGCTATACACATGTCGTACTCAGCTAGGCCAAGGGCTGGCCGGATCGCGAGCTAGTGTAACTCACATGCCATGATCTGAGACCAATAATTCAAGTATCATGCACTCAGCATTCATGTATAAATCTAATGATTGTAACAATGATGCTTCCGTATATATAGCCTCATGGGCATGTTCAAACATGGGCGTCATCATTTGTGAGTTGCATTCATTGTCAATCACCAAGAGATTCAGATGCCCAGGTCGCCCGCCTCATGCAATTTGTAGAGTTCTACATTGCTTTTCGGACATTTATGGCAGCCGCACATAGCAAGCTGCAGAACGATGGAAGACACAGCCAAAGAGATAGTAGGATCTCAGCTTTCATATCAGAAGATTATCGCAGCAAACAGTCCTGAAAAGTGCCCACATGATTCTTAGAAGACGTACGGTGAATAAGGTTCTCCCATGATTGATCATAGACTCCTTGCTTGGAAAACAGACGCTAATCTAGAGTAAGCTTCCAGAATATGGTCAGGCACAGCCACATGGCCAATGAAGCCCTTACCACGAGGCCCGTACCCCTGCTCAGTGTCGTGCAACCGCAACATGTCTCCCATGATCAGAGCAGTGTAATGTTCCACGGACCATATTGGTTGCAGTGCCTCCATTTGATCACTGAACTGGAACCCCTTACTGTCTGACTGCACCTCAACAACCGGAATGAACGGCGCAAAGCTGATGACTTGCATCTGTATATCCTCTCGGTGCTCTAAGTGCTTATGGAAGCTTGCCATTGTTCTCCGCTGCATAGTCGGATCTTGGATCAGAATGGCTTTCACATGGTCCCTCCCTTGAGTGGCGAGAAGCTCAATACTCTTGGAAGCGTTCTCACTACAATTGAGAGACTTCGTCTCCAGCATGACTTTCTCATTTGGAACATGGCATACCTCCGTGACTATCCGCCGCAGAACCTCAGCTTCCGTTTGACCTGCTACCTCTAGATGTGCCAATTTGGGCACCCTTTTGACAGCAGCGTAGAGGGGTGCGGTTGAGTGGCCTGTTCCCCCTGTAATCAAAAGCTCCTTAGCAACACCGTTGTGAATTGCCTCTGCCGCAATCTCCGCTGTACATGGCAAGGCGCTGCCGGCCAGAATGATGAAGTCCGCTTGCGCGGTCTTGGTAATCAGCTCTGGAACGTCCCTTTGAGCAAGAAATGAACCTACGGCGTTAATGTCCTCTGCTTGCTTCTCCAGAGAGTAGTCAGCTGGAGAATTGTGTTCAGACGCCATGGTGCTCCAACTCAATCGTGCCAGATGCTGAGCCAGACTAGATTTTGAAAGCAAAAACAAGATAGATAGGCAGCGGCGGACAACACTGTTTCACGCAAGGTTACATGCTAGCTTCATCCCCAGTAAATCTGTTGCCTAACTACTAGGTCGAAGAAGATCCTGATGGGCAATAAGGAGCTCAAAAGCTGGCTACTTGCAAATAAACAACGGCGGCTGCTGCTTGAAAACTCGGCAATTGATGATCAGCACGAATATGATTGCACCCTTTTCGTCGCCCTGGTATCGTTGCACTAGCTGCTGAAGGCGCCTGTAACGGATGCAGCTCTGCTTTTCTGCTAAGAGTCATCTGGACTGTCCTCAGCTCCGCTTTCCGCCCGGTAATTTTCGGGTTTCCTCCCGGCGGCTGAAAATTCTGACGGTTCTGATGTCTGCAGCTCCCGCTGTTTCGGACGAAGATTGAAGGGTCGAGACTCGACTCTGTAAGACCACCGACTGAAGCGACGCTTGCGCGAACGGCAGCCCGTCAAGGCGACCAGTCACCAGGCCATGTAGGCGAGTCAGCGACCATTTCAAGTCGGCAGCGGACCCTGTATCCGGCGCGCGCGCGCCTGCACTTCTGCACTACTGCAATTGAATCCAGCAGCCGCCCACTCGGAATGCTGGCATAGTCCTGAGCTTGTCCGGTCCTAGGTCCTAGTAGCACTGTAGCTCATGTGCCATGACGTGGCCGTTCTACTATCATTCTATTTATGATCTATACCGTATTGAGCTTTCACAATCTACATGAGATGTTCCGGCGACCGTCAGGTTGGCAAACTCCCATTGGCGAGAATCACAACGGCGCGGACGTCCAACATAATAGCGAGTTGGCGGCAGTTTGAATTCTGATTTAGAGAGCCTCGATCGAAGGCTCGAACATCTCTTATACACCAGGATACAGCTTAGTAGGCAGCCGGTGCATGCTTAGTCATTCTGGTTCAGTTACACAGCCTCGAAGTCTACCCGAAGTCTAAAGGGGCAGCTCAAGTGTTTGACTCCGAAATGACCAGTACATGTTGCCTAATGGTATCTCAGGCTGACCATTACACAATGCTGGCACCATGAGCATGCAACCTCAAGCCAAGGAGGGTGCTCCCATTTCGACTCTCTGGACAATCAACTTTTAAGCATGCAAAGCATAAGTACAGAAGTATAGGGACTCGACAGTTCAGATATGATAATCCCTCGGGCCTTGCGCAATCTGGAAACACTGGGAAAGCGACACGGTCATGGATGCCTCGTCTCACCCGTTCGTGCAATTATGCAATGGAACCGTCAATAACCATTCCCTACTTAACACTGCACCTGACTTAGACTTGACTCGCTTCCTGCTTCGAGCTCAGAGACTTGATTGAATAAGTAGACTGTTCCTATACACTTAGTCGGGCACTAGCCTTTACCAGTGTGGGACGCTACAGAGGCAAAACGCGGATCTTAGTGATCGTTTTCTGACGTCGACGTTGATAAATATGGATAGTCAATGCCCGTTCGACGTCTGCATCAAGACTCGACTTGAGTCGGACTTCGAGGCTCCGAGTAAAGCCATCACGACTGTCGGAAAGAGCTATTGATAGATTGCTTCAGGACCGTCCCACTGAGGGCGCATGCTAGTACGTTGCTATACTAACATTTTTCTGCCGGAACCCTGTCATCTGCGCACAACACTACGTAGTCCAACACGTCTTTAGACCAAGTAAACGCCTATCTTCTGAAAGGCTTGCCTGAACAGCTTCCGGCCTGTCAGATGGTTGCATACAAGGAACCTTCTGAATCTTTTGTTACAACAGTAAGCTTGAAACTTTCTTCGGCAGAGTCGCTCCATTCTGAGAACTCTGCCTCGCTGTTCAACTGTTGAGGCGTACGGATCATCGACGCAGTGCTAGAGTCGGAAGACGCCATGGACGCGATCGTATAGAGGGTCATGGGCCGGAGCGGAAGGCGGGGAACCTCTAGAGAGTTCGAGAGCATCTCGGCGCACTGGCGCATGCTCGGGCGGACGGCAGCCGCGGTGTGGACGCATAAGAGGGCAAGTTAGTGTTGTCAAGCACTTCCGGGGGAATTGGTTGATCGAAACGTAGCAGACATAACGCGTATTGAGGTTCACTTTTCCACTACGTGATTCACCCTTTTCCACGAAAGCTTCGCCATGCAAGAATCTGTACGAGATTCATGACAGATTACGTTTCCCCAAAATCTGGGAACAAGCTTTCCGACTGTACGGAAAGGCAGGGAACGGCTCCTCTGTCAGATTCAGGCTTCGTATTAGGAGAACGATGTCGTCTCACGGATGTTTTCGAACACGTCTGTGCATGCTGGTTATGCGGGAGCATCGAGGGTTCGGCATACCGCATACGTCGAGTGAGTAGTAGCGAACTTGACAACTGTTCGTCGATCACTTCGGACGCCTCCTGCTTTACTGGACGGCTGGTCTTGCGGAACGGCTCAAAGCGTGACAGGATTCAGCTGCCAAAGAGCGTTTCGACTTCGCGCTTCAATTTTGAAACGGATCCCTTACCCGGGTCATGCTCTCCATGCTCTCGCCGTGCTCCGTCCTCTCCCTCTCGAGCCGCGGATTAATCAGCAGCTCCAGCTCGTTTCGTTCCGCCAGGGCCCAGGCCCATTCCGGCAGGTAGACCTGAGCGGAACGGAAGGTCAGGGTTTCATTCAAGAGCACTTCCTGAGTACGGCCGTCTCTCAGATAAGCTAGCTTTCTGTTGCCCCGTATTAAAGCGCCGGCTTTGAGTCCCTATAACGCGAGAGTCGGTATCCTTTCTGAAGAGCGAGAACTTTTCTCGTGCATCTTCGACTAACCTCTGCAGGCAGAAACTCAAGCCCCGCGGATTGAAGCTCTTTGCTCACGCTCAGCCGCTATGCGAAAGTTTATGCTTCCACGCGAATGTCATGCAACTGGCACGCGTCGCGGGCCGCCTTTCTCCAAGAGAGGGCTCTAAAATCTAGAAATGAAAAGAAAAGAGGAACTAGACGCGCGTGTCCGCACCTCTTCAACCGGGGCGTCTGGAACGGTGGGCCGTCTCCCGGCCACTAACGTCAGCAGCACAACTCCGAAGCTGTGCACGTCATTCTTCTCCGTCAGCTGCCCGGTGGCCATGTACTCCGGGCTCAGATAGCCCCACGTGCCGGCGATCCCTGCATTTCAGAAAACGGTGGTCAGATTCATTTGACCGAAGGGACGGCACCAGGCTTGGAAAGGGACCTGGTGATCGGGGTCGCGTTAGGGTTGACGTAATCGGGTTCTTTTAACCACGGAAATGTGCCGCTAAAAAGGCCCCATGCCTGTGGAAGAAGAGCTGAAAGGCCGAAAGAAGTTGTTTGATTATCACGGCGTGAAAATCGAGACAGCCAATGACGATTCAGACATCTCGTTCTCTTCCCGCTATCCACAGAGTACCACGTCTTTTTGAATAACAAGACGCCTTCTCCTTACCAGTGGTCACGTGGGTGTCATCCAGGCCCGTCACTCTCGCCAGCCCGAAGTCAGCCAGCTTCGCGTCGAAATTACGCGTCAACAGGATGTTACTCGCCTTCACGTCCCTGTGTATAACCCTTGGAGTGCACTCCTGGCAAAAGCGGGGAAAGTCCGTGTTAGACGACATGGGTTCGGAAAGATTTGGGGCCTTTTAAAGGTCCATTCTAGGGTATTGGCAGTTACACGTCCGTCTCGGCACTGGGAGTTGGAGGGAGCACAGTCTCATCAGCGGACAATTGTCTTTCCTCGTCGCCCATGCGGTTGTCTGTTTTGCGCCCTCATCGTGTGTGTCACCTTTTTACGAAAACAAATCGTTCATCGAAGTGTTACTCAGCGGCCAATCCGGTTATGTCAACCCCAGCCCTAAGTTCTCAAGACGAACCAATCAATGAATTATTACTCTCAATTTTCGCAAGACGCCCGGGCAAACCAATCTAAATCCGAACGTCAACCGCTCCCCTTCCTTGCGTGCACAGAAACTGTATCGTCCATGAAGCACACACGTGGCTCTGGTTACCGTAGTTGCGGCTACTGCAGTCAATTTTGATGGCGCGCAAAGAAGGGGGTCAGCATGCATGGATCAGCGGGCATGGGCCATGGTTCGTGCAAACTGGATGCAGTCGGAACTCTTGAAAAGTGTCTAGTTGGAGCAGATGAAGCATGCAAGACGAACCCTTGAGACTCTCGATCCTTGATACACTGTATCAAGACAAAAAACAAAACGAGCCGGTTACTAGCTCATTTGTGCAGCATTAAGCAAACCAAATGCCTGAAAACACAGATTCCAGACTGTTCTGTAGCCAACAAGTTCTAAGTAAACCAGCAGCTAGAGGCCTCGACTCGACGCCTCAGTCCACAACACCTTCGAGGCTCGCTTCAATATCCGCTCATGCACGGACACACAATTGCTAAAATCCCCCGAAATTCCTAATCTCTGGTCAGCATAAGAGCATCCGCTGAACTACTCCTCATCAATGACCTCTTCGTAGCGTCCACATAGTCCAAGCATAAGTTACACAAAGCGCCTGGCTCGCGAGTCATAATCTACACGGACTTCCGCTCACCCAGCACCGACCAACTTTTCCGCAACACGTAACCTGGCTAACCGCAACAAAACTATTGCCGCACAAAGCTGGCCCCCCCTGAGTCGCTCGTTCCCAACGAACTGTCGAAGTCCGCTGCCAGTTGGTGTGGTGCGCGGATCATCGACGCACTGCCCGACTCCGACGAAGCTATCGATGCAATCGTGTAGAGAGTCATGGGCCGTCGCGGAAGAGGCGGCACCTCCATCATGTTTGCAAGCATGTCTGCGCACTGCCGGGCTGTTGGCCGGATGCTGACGTTGGCGTGGACGCACAGCAGCGCGACCTGACCACCACAGAGAGAGGCGGGTTTCATTTCTATCCGGTCAGCAAGTGAGACAAGTCCAGTGTTTGAGGTTGAGGAGGAAGCTGCAACTGCAGTTCGGCCATGGAGAGGAAGGACCCTCGGCAACTCGGTTGAAGGTTTGACGCGTTCTGCTTCTCCAGCTCAGCAGCAATGCAGAATCTTACGCAGGAGCTGCATGGGGTGCGCAAGAGAGCGTTTGCCATAAAGTGCTAGTTATTGTTGCGACTCGGATCTGCATCTAGAACGTCGAGAGTGGTATTCAGAGCACGAGACCTAAAAGTATGTTCATCCTTCATCCTTGCAAGGTCTAGAAGCTTCAGCGCAGCGACATCTGTCGAGATGCAAAAATGAACAATTTCAACTATTTTCAATGGTTTCAGCGTTCGATGGGAATCCTCTTGGAAAATTGGAGAGCGAAAAGAAGCAAGGATGCCGAATACAGGAGAAGCCAAACTCTCTTACCCTGGTCATCCGGTCAATGCTCTCAATGTGCTCGATCCGTTCCCCATCAAGTCGCGGGTCCACCAGCAGCCCCAGCTCGTTCCGTTCCGCCAGGACCCAGGCCCATTCCGGCAGATAGATCTGAACGAAAAAGAATGAAACAATCCGTTACTGAGGTGGCTTCTCGAAGCACTCCGTTTGAACCAGACTTTCAAAACGACTTCGCAGTCGGAACGTTGAGTCAAACGCGAATGGAGAGAGTGCAGCGTCGCCCAGAAAACGTGCTTTAGAAACCAATCCACGCTGGCCACACCTTTGACGCGTGTAGCTCAATGCTGACCCGATTCTTATTACGACCTTGCGGAGAGCACTTTTTAGACATGTGCATTCGTCAATCCGACAGACCTACAGAAGCGTCCAGAGCGCAAGTTTGACTCCAGCTGACGCCTGGAGCGTCCACGAGTTATATGACGTCAAGGACATGGCCGTAAAAGCTCCAGACTCCCCCTGCGCGCAGGTGTCGCTATCTTATTGAACCCATGAAAATACCGGGATGCGGATTGTGCTGAAAAAGTAAGGAAGGAAAAAGAGCAGAAAAAGTTGGACAGACACGAGGAGTTTGGAAAGGGCTGCTTACCTCCCCCCCAAAAGCATCCGGCTTGGTGGGTCGTCTTCCGGCCACCAGCGTCAACAACACCACCCCGAAGCTGTACATGTCGCTCTTCTCGGTCAGCTGCCCGGTGGCCATGTACTCCGGACTTAGGTAACCCCAAGTGCCGGCGATCCCTGCAAAGTGAAGAGGAGGTTTGGACTCACTCAAGTTCGTGTGTTGGGAGTCAGTTCTGGCTTGTTAAGCAACAAAGAAGCCGCAGAAAGTTAGTAGTGCTCGTGAGAACCACATATCCGATTGGAACGCACGACCCGGCAAAGTGGGTGTCATAGCCGGATACAGAAGTAGAGTGGCGGGTATCAATGCTGAAAAGATTGTGATTTTTGTCCCTACCGTCTGCAATTGGGAATCCATGGAAAGAGTAGAAACCTAAACCGAGAGGCGGGGCAACGATCCGCATAAACAATGAAAACTTGTTCGGAGAATCTGAAAATCCTCCTGGTTAACCCTAGAGCCTACAACAAACCAGGAGAAGGCCGGCACCAAAATGACGGAAGACCGGAGAGGATCGGAACGGAAAGATGTGCGAAGACTTCAGACGGGTTGGCACTCAAATAAAGCACCTGTCCAAATTGCAATCTGGTCAAAGAAGGTCAAAGGAGGTCGCAAGTGCTGATAGCCCTCGTTGACAGTCGTGCAAACCAGACAACGTGCCGGTAGTGTGAAGTGAGAATTGCGCGTTGAGTCAAGGCGGGACTGCGAATCTCTCGTACAGTAAAAGCGGACAAAAGAAGCAAAGCACTTACCAGTCGTCACGTGCGTATCGTCGTGATTCGTCAATTTGGCCAGCCCGAAGTCGGACAGCTTCGCATCGAAGTTGGTAGTCAGCAGAATGTTGCTGGGCTTCACGTCGCGGTGTATGCACTTTGGCTCGCACTCCTGAGAACGACGGAACAAGTCTCCTTTATGAGGAAATCGTTTTCAGAAGTGGGACATGTCTTCGTCCGTACAAAAGAGAAAGAGTTTGCGTATTCTCAAACACACGTTCTCCCCGCTTCGTGGCGGCTCGGGTGCGAGGGGGCTCCCTCACGTTTGCAAAAGCAGAAACGCCTAGAAACAAAGCTGAATGAGTCTGATAATGCACACACGGTGCCATTGTGAACGGATGTGCATCGCCGCATTAAGGACTCTGAAAAGATCATTGCTCTAATTGTTCTCACGCCGTCTTTGTAAGATTACAGCGCAAACAATGGAACAAAGGTTCAAATCGCAAAAAGGAGAGAATGAGAGGCAACGTACATCGTGCAGATAAGCGAGCCCGTTGGCAGTCCCCGTCGCGATCTTGAGGCGTGTGGGCCAGTCCAAGAAGTGGACTTGCAGTCCTCGCCGCGTCGGTCTGCCAGAGACGTGTGCCGGTTCGTACAGGTGATCCTCCAGGCTGCCTTGCTCCATGTACTCGTAGACGAGACTGCACGCGGATCAAACTTTCAAGCTCCGGGACACGTTTCGAAAGGCGAATGGTGAGATCGAGTTCTCTGTATTGTCCGCAAATTTACTTGTCAACAGACGGAACCCGATATTTGGTCTGATTTCCGGGCCCCGCTTTGTCGGAAGCGGCTTGGCTCAAACCCGCATCGAGCGGATGGAAGACAAAAACCCCGTCTAGTATTTCCTCAATGTGACGAAAAAGAAAGCATCAGAGAATGGCATTTCAATGTGCGGCTGAGCTGCTGCAAGCAGCTGATAATACTGGTGAAGTATCGAAGGCGAGACCACTAGAGCAGCAGTCGCAGGGGGCCGCACAGAACTTTGTCTACGGTGCCCCCCAAACACCGGAAGTGATCCTCTACTCAACCATTAAAAAGTGTATCGCCCTTGACTGAGTCTTAAGGGCGCCCCTCCTCAAGCCTTTTGCTGGCCGACGATGAAAATTTCTGGGGCGTCAGTGCGACAATGACGGCACGCTTGGCAGAACCTATGACCACTTGAAGCAAACAGCACGACAGCGCCACGAGCAAAGTAAGAGGCGGAAGTGTGCAGCGGAAGCCAATGACTAGAGCTCGATGCACGTGCAACTTGAGAGACTCGGAGGCTCTAAAACAACTTTTTGCAAGCCCAGTGTTTTCAGATGGAGCGAGCGAACTCACCTGCAATGGGACCCGCTCATGCAGCAACCTTTCAGGATGACCAAGTTACGATGCCGGCAGCGGGCCAACGTCGCAATCTCGTTCCATGCTTCCTGCAACACCCAAACCCAGCCTTTTATTACCGTGCAACTGTCGCAATCAAATGCTAAGAAAGTTCTTCCAAGGTCGCTTTGCTTCTCCATCACTCTGTTTCGTTCGTTTTCACAGAGAGCGTACTCAAGTAGTGCACACTCCCGAAGACAATTGGCGACTGTCAGCGTTTTTCAGTACAAGCAAAGATGTCTCACTGCTACTTCTCAACCAAGTACCATCCATTAGCAGTCCAGTTGACTATGAACTTGCAGCCAGAAGTCCCTGACAAGGGCCTAGGAACGGTACTCCAGATTGCTGCCTCACCTTGGCCCCGTCCTTGCTGCTGGTAAACACGGCCTCCTTGATGGCCACCGTCTCCCCACCTAGCTCCCCCACGAACACTTTACCCGAGCCCCCGCTGCCCAGCAACCGGCTCGCGTCGAAGTTCCTGGTCGCCCGCCGGAGCTGCCACCGGCTGTAGATCACCAAACGTTTCTGGTGCGCGCGCATCCGGAGCGACGAGATGCGGCTGAGCGTTTTCAGCTGCGCGTTCCAGCGGGCCTTGCTCGGCGGGAAGCGCCTCCACGCGTAGCACCCGATCAGCGCCCCGAGCAGCACGAGCGCTCCCACGATTCCCCCGGTGAGGCCGGCAATGAGGGCGACGTTCGGGCCGCTGTCTTTCCGGGGGGTGGGAAGTCCCAGCTGCAGCCCCGGGGGGAACTGGTAGTAACAATTCAGCCGGGCGGTTATCTCCTCCATGGTTGGGAACCAACCAAAGAACTGGTTTCCGAACATGAGCATGCACGAGTTCAGAATGTCGACGCTCGTCGTGTTGGCCAGCTCCGCGCCGATGGAGAAAAACGTCGGCTTGCACTGGCTGCAGTCGCTCGTCGACGGGTTGCACGCCGTCTCTAGTTGCCGGTAGTAGCCTACTGGAATGCGCTGGAGAATCGTGGTGTAGTTGTAACAGCCGACACTGAAGAGCAGGTTGGTCGCGCTGATGCGGCATGTGTTTACGACCGTAGACGGAATGCCGTGGGCTGTGAGAGCCGCCTGGAACTCGGCCGCGCATGCCTCCACTTCATCCTGCAGCAAACAAGCCGTCTGTGTGAGACAGAATGTACAGGTTTCGCTTCGGCTGTGCTTTTGCATATTTGTTCCTTGCAGTGAAACGGGCTACTCTCCACTTCTTTTTACGAAAGGTAAACGTACATGATCTTGCGTTTCGATAACAATATCAGGGCAAATTCGTTGTTGATTCTGCTTGAATATGCCAATTTCGGCGACTGTTAATGCAACGCCGTGAGCTGGAACTGCGGTTTGATTAACACAACAGAAATATGTCACTCGGTTTTGCAGGGCAGGCAGGGACCCAGACATCGAAGCAAGGCCTCATAGATGAGCGACTCTACTAGATGACTATGATGGTGAATCTCCTTGACTTCTTGGTTCAGGAAAGTTGCGTAGAATCAGTACGTTAGTACTCGCAAACTGAAGTACTGCGTAACTCCGTGTCTCTTTTCTGTAGTGGTGGACAAACTTTGGTCCAGACTCAGATTGTTGAAATGGACACTGTGGGACCCTTTGTCCAGAACGTGCTCCTCTGACATGGAATCGCAATCGAGTGGAGGATAGTAAGAAAGAAAACCATGTCAAAAATGTCAGATTGCAGAATAGATCCGAAAACTGGCGTGCAACAGATGACTGCTTTCGGAAACTGTCTACACTTGTCAGCTGACCTGACACCGCCAGGCCGAAGCCCCAAACTTGTGCTGGTAGAAGAAACATGAACAAGGACTCCTGGCTAAACCTGGCAAAACCCCCTTCACTAGATCACTGATCTATATTGACGCAAAGAAGTCGTCAGTCCACAAAGAATTGCCGAGGATGGTCCTTGGAAGCTGGACGGGAATTTGCAGACTACTGCCATTTGCTCTGATACGCGCAATAAATACGACCCTGCAGAAACAGGAGCTTCCCTTACAAGAAAAGGATCATCAGCACACACCTGGTTCTCCGAGCGCCCCGTCCGGTTCATGTACAACGCCTGCTGCTGGCCGTACATCCCGAGCACCAGATTGCAGCAGCGATCGGCGCGCACGTTTTGTCCGCAGCTGAGGGCCACCGAAGTGAAGTTCGCAGACTTCCAATCAAAGGCGGTGCATGTTTTGGCCAAGACGATTGGAGAGATGTCCACGCCGTGCAGGCACTGGGACATCCTGTTGGCGATGGAGAGGGGGTACGCGGCAGCAGTCATTGCGACTTGGGCGAGGGCTGCAGTTTAGGGAAGATTACATGAGTTATAGGGTGAACAGGACTGTCGAAAGGGTAAACGGATGGTGAAAATTCAAAGAAGTCGTGGACACAAGGACCACCAGATATCAACGGGAGTCGTTAGTGAGACTCGTTGGCCCTTGTCATATCCTTTCTGCAGGTTAATGAATCTGTAGAGGGGTTGTCAGGATCACTGTGGAGAACCATCAGATCTGAGACCAATTTTGAGAGTTGGCAGGTCAAGAAGAGGGTGTGTCAGGTGGACAAACATGGAAGTTTCATCTGCTATCCAGGAAATCACGGGAGTCGGGAGAGGTATACATGGCAGAGGTGCGAAACAACGAGTTTGTCTTTCACCAGACAAATGAAAGATGGAGCTCAAACAGGACCCAGCCATGCACGCAATGGGGCACCTTACCACAGCCGCTGGGAGAAACAGAGGGACACATGCATGGGGAGTCCTGCTGTGGGGTCACTCCTCACCTTGGCAAGAGGAAGTGCTGAGAAGCGCCGTCGTGCTGCTACCGAGTGACATAATCTTGCTTGTGATTGAGGAGGTGCAGACGCTGCAGTCGGTGGTTGTGCCGTAACAGGTTATGCCAACCGTACCTGGTATTAGAGAAGAGAGAATTCAGCGGCCTTGAATATGTTCGGCAACATCATGCATCTTGGCCCCTCCTTCAAATGTTTGTAAAAAAGGTAAACGCGCAGGTGAAATGGTCCAGCTCAAGTGAAGTCTTGCATGGAAAAAGACAGCAAGGTAATCATCGCCACAACCATTATGGAGACTATTGCTTCAAGATTCCCTCGTTGTTGCCCATTCGGTTTACAGCAGACTGCTTGCTTCACTAATCCTGACTGCAAAGGCAGGTTGCGACCAGGCTTCCCCAAAGCAGACAGCTGGGATGCATGATTAATTGGGAGAGTCCAACAGCGCGAGAAAACCAATAGCGCACCTGGGAAGGTGTGGTTTGCAGCAGACCAGAAGTCATACACAGTTGTCAGGTCGTCTCCGCAGGCTTTTCCAGTGTCCTCCGACAGCGCCTGGCTCGTAATGCTGCAATTTCGGACATATGGTACGCCAATTGCCGCCATCGCAGAATCTAGAACCTGATGAGAATTGCAAAGTTGGTCAGCCTGTTGACATCTTGTGCAATGGAAAGTGATGCTTTATTCTGCAAGATTGGACTACCAGCATTATCCGCTAAAACATGCATGAGAAAATAGGATAGCTGTAACTGCAAGGAAGAGGCTAAGGTAAGCTGGCATTTAGGTGCTTGAGAGAGGGAACCATCTGTATATCCAAATTCCTGGATGCATATCTGCTTGGTAGACACCAGGCTGTCAGGCTTTGGGGCCTTTGCAACGAGTATTGGTCTGCAGCGGTATGCAAAAACGAACCTTGTACATCAGAAAAGATCCCCCCACATTGAGTTCAATAAGAACACTGGATCAATCATCTACCATGTAACATGTTCGCTGATGAAATGCATTTGGTCAAATTTGCATACCAACCCTGATGCGTAAAAAGTTCTACCCCTGGCGAGACGAGGATCGTCAGCAAGTACCTGAATGCATGCATCTGCCGACGCCTGAGGCAGGAGCAGGCGTCCAGTCTCATTTGCGTATCGCACGCGGCTCTGAAACAGGAGTGCCTGGAGGTGGCCGCAGCAGCTGGTGGGAGAATCTCCATACAAATTGATGGATGCTGCAGGAGCCACGTGGAAAGCCGAATGTGAGCTGCTCACAAGGACAAAGTTGAGAAAAGGTTCCCCAGGCAGAGCAAGTTAATGCTGCTACAGTGCTAGCATGCGACTATCGTTCGTTTCAGCAGAACTCCATCCATGCACGCGAAGGATTGATAAAGAGGTTTGGAATCTGGCATTTCAGACGACTTCAAAAACTTAAAGAAATGTCTGTTTTGATCAGGGAGTTGATACGGCTTCAAGTTCCTGCGAACAGAAGCATCCTTGCCTTTTTAACAAGTTAGGGGAAGGTAATGTTATGATTCAGAAAAAACGGGCCAAGTATGGAGCTAGATCCCTTTGAAGCCTATCATACATTGCACATTTGCTCAGCAGAAAGAGGGGAATGCTCATGCTGTGGCCACTTCCAAACGACGAAGCGAAAAGCTCCTGCAAGGTCTCAGTGGCTAGAGAACAATCAAAAGGCAGAACTCACTCACCAGAGGAACACCCTTGCTTTGCATGCTGCATGTCAGATTGCAGAAAAGTGAGGGGGCAGCTGCCTGGGGGAATGAGAGGGGGAGAAGGGGCACCAGGTCGAGGTGCTGTCTCTACATAGTCTGCCTGACTATCCCCTAGGAGACCAAGACATATAAGACCCATTATGCAGATAGCAAGGAGACCTGCTGATCTGCCAAATCTGTACGACATCCTGGCTGACTTTCTGCAGGGCTGCTGCCGATACAGGAGTTGCTGGCGTATTTTAGTGTTGTGCCACCATCTAACAGTATCTTGAATTGCTGCTGACAGCTCCAATATTTGCAAGGTACGTAGGCTAAGCCTGAGCTCTTCTTGTCTTCTGGTCCACATCCCCCTCCCCCAGAATGTAGGCTGCTTTGGTCAAAGCTTTTGGAACGTCCTTCAAGGAGATTTTCTGGGCGAGTTTTAATCGACCTAGCTTCTTTTCAGCGGCGGATGACAAACCTTGTCCATTTCAATTTACACGCAAATGCACGTTTTCCTTGTTGCTCCGATGCAGCGCCATTGCACGCTCCTTCACCTAACAGGTTACACAGCAAATGCCCTTTGCCCCCGCCAAGCATTGGCATCAGCATGCTGCATAGTGTAGGTACCTAGAAGTTCTAGTACCTAGTAGTAGTACCTAGAACAGTGATCGTGGCGAAAATAAATCTTGAAATACACTAAATAGGAGCTCCCAGACACTAATTGGCGAAAATGACACTAATGGCGAAAATCCCAGCGGCAGTTGTGGCCGGTAGAGTGTCCCGGCAACAAAACTTCTTGTACCGACCAAATTTTTTCGTTGTCTCTGGAGAGTCAATTGAAAATGTACATGGCAAAGGTAAAGTACGGGGTTCTGAGCAGGGTTAAGATTCGTCAAAGCGGGTGGGAGCACCCGAGCATGTAAGAACTGGCTGACGGCCTGACCATTTTCGCCAGGCCGGCGAAATTCCCTTCCCAGACACTAAATGGCAAAAATCTGGCGAAAATCAAATTGGCGAAAAGAATTAGTTTCGCCACGAACATTGACCTAGAAGTTCAGCAATTGCAATGATGCAGCTGCAAATTGCAATGATTCCTGGTTCTGAGCTTCTCTTCCGACCCGCCCGGCTAAAAGAACCGGGCAAAAACATAACTTTGCTTGACTCTGAGTAGCAGCCGGAAGGCGGCCCCCGAGGGATCTACTAGGTAGCTCTCGAGTCTCCATACTGAGCGGAGACTTTCTCGGTTTCTACGTGTGCACACTGCATCATGCATCATCATCATGCTGATCGAACTTCATCAAAGCCTGAGTAAGTTCGTCTTCGGCAACGGTGCGCTTCCTGCCTGGAAACGGTGCCGGTGGCCTGTGGAAATACTCTTCGACATGCCGCATTGTCTGGTACTCTGTTTGCTGTGGGCTCAAGAAACGGTGCCTCTGACGCTGAAACCTTCGAGAAGGAAGCTAAAATCCAGATCCTCGCCTCAGGACAGCTAGAGCCTAGCCTTAAAGTTAAAGTGGGCGTCGGGGTATAAAACCCATTTACCGCGGACAATTTTTGGCCCGGGGCTGCCGTGGGGCACGACAATGGCCTAGGTGGCTAGCGCGCAGGTCTAAGCCGAAGTCCGACTCGATAGCCTCCGGCTCAAATCTGTGGAAAGCAAGTTTTGCCTCACTTTTACCGCTTTACTTTTTGTTCTCAAAAAGTTGTGACGTAGGATGACGCTGAATCGTGAACCGTGGTACCTGAAGTACCGTACCGTGGGGCTCTGTTGACGTTACTGTCGCAGTACTGGGGCCATCAACGTCCGATTGACCACCGGAGCAATCTGGTCGTCGATTCGAGCGTCCGTGAGCCGGCCCGGCATCCGTCGGGCATACTCGTCAAGATGTGCACTGGAACAGGTTGAAGGCCGTCCGATGACTTCTTGAGTTGCAGATCTCACCGTTCGGTTTGACGTCCCGTCTGCCGACAGTGCCGTTAAGCTGTGACGGCGGCAAGGGGGTACGCGTCGCAGACGCCCACTTTAAGGCTAGGGAGATCTGTAGCCCTGTCCATTCTCTCTAGCTTAGGACCAGGACTTAGGTAGGCTTCTAAATTCGTTTGAAGTTCTCTTGAAAGTTTGAAAGCCCAAGCTGCAGAAGCTGGTCACCCGGTCCTGAAGTCGATATTACAAGTTATTTGGTTATTCTGGTCATTCTGTCCACTCATTGTTGCAGGTTCGTGTTTCACAAATCACAGCTTGTCCTTTCGAGACACAAACGGGCTCTGACACTGCTGCCAGAAGGGGCCACAGCATTGGTGCCGACCTCCACAATGCCGACTGAGCTGGAGGAACTTGTGGATTTCCTGTCGTCTCCACGACCAGAGGTATCTTCTCTTGGCTTTCGAACCTGTTCGCATATCCAAGTGCTTTCTTCCTTGCGTGTGCTTCTGCTTCTGAATCATATAACAGTGTGGGGAGAACGCTCCTGAATGTGCAGTTTCTTCTTTTGCTGGCGGAGATGTTAACAATTTCGGGAACGCAAAACATCAGATTGATGATGGACTGACCGGGCCTTCTGATCACCACTCTGCCAGAATACTGCACTGACCCAGAATACCTCAGCGCACTGGGACAGCCTGTTTCTCATGGTCACCTTAAGTTCTAATCTTAGCAAGTAAGAAATCACGATTGGGCAGACACCAAAGTCCTTGGGCTGACAGACAATTTGGGGGCAAGCTCGTTAGATTGCTATCTAATGTTGCATATGGCGGACTGACTTCCTCCATACCGGTGGTGCTCAAGACTCTGACAGTGAGAACATTGTATTCGGCCCGTCTTTGGTCTGCCTTCCCAACGGGTTTTTTTCGATTTGCCTTTATCAATGGAAGACGTCTTTATCAAAGGGTGTTGTTTTTTGTTCCATCTTGATCAAACGTGCCCTTGCAAAATGTCTTTGTTTCACCAAAAGACGGCCAGCAATTTCAGCCTCCCGCTCTGATTCAACACAACAGATATGAACCAGCAAGTTGACCTTTCCCTCACGCCAGCAGAAATCAAATAATGACACGTGTTTCCCCCCAGTTACGGAAAGGCGCCGTCGACATCGTCCAAGGCCTTTCCGGAAGTGACCAGGGGCTGCACCAGCTGCTATCCGTTTCCGATAAGCTATTGAAACCGCTCCTAAAACTGCTCGTCGCGTCGCCCAACGTCTCAAAGCCTGCGGCCGCAGCTCTTGTAAACCTGTCCCAGGACCCTAGGTTTGCGGAAAACGCGGTCAAGGAAAATGGGGTTAGCCGGGCGATGCAAGGGTTAGTGGAAAAGGAGGGGGGGCACAACGATCTGCTGGTGATGCTGCTGGCGAACTTGACACAAACGGAGGAAGGGGCTAGGTCGCTGTTACAGGTGAGAGCAGTTCTGGTGTCAAATACTCTACTCGAGTGCAAAGTCACAGTGGAGGCGAGACTTTGTGTATTGGAGCAGAGTCTTCATTTTACCTGGAGACATAATCACGACAAGCAGAGTCGATTGGGGTTCTCAAGTCCATTGCACTGCTTGTCTTTCTGGAAGCTGAACCAGAGGAAACCAGAATCTTAAACAACTCATCGAGGTTAGTAAGCTTAACACGAAATGTTACCAAGCAAAATTGGAAACAAAACGTGGCGGCAGTCTATGGTTCGTGCTTGGGTCATTAAGGGTTCCCCGGAGGCTTAGGTACGGATGGACGCCCTATCTTAGATCTTGACTCACTCCTCTTAGCGCAATTTCAAAAGCACTGTCCTTGAAAGTCGAACAAGATCAACGAAGTGCCCCCTACCGACGTCTCTGGAATCGTGCTACCCTTGAACTCTTGCCAACCCTGTCAGGGCCTTTCCATTGGACTGCTCCGTAGTTGACACTTACTTGCGAATCCACGATCCTGAAGTCAGTCTGGTAATGCACTGCTCTGAATTTTGCAGCTTTGTGACGACGCTTTAACAGACCTCCTTCTGACTACACTGAAAGGACGGCACACAGAATCCGCCCCATCTTCTGGATCTCAAAACTTCGTTTCTCTTCGTCACTCTCTAAGACTCAAACCTGTTTTTCATGCTAACCCTCGCAGGTTAACGACGAGGCTCTTCAGGGCCTGTTCCTGACAAAGCTGATCAAGGAATTCGCCGCGACTTCGGGGTCCGAGGATGATGACGTGTACGAACACGTGGGGACGGTTCTGGTGAACGTCAGCCAGGTCAAGGAGGGGCGCACGATCCTGCTGGATCCTGCCCGGGCGCTGCTGAAACACGTCCTGCCGCAAATACAGTCTCAGAACGTGCGACGACGACAAGGGGTGCGTCCTGATTTCGACATTTGAAATCCGCCGTGCTCTGTATTTCTGCAACTGCTTTTTCCATCACCCTTGTTGGAAACGGAATCACAATCGTGTCGTGCTTAATCACATGTTGCTGCCGAGCCAATCGGATACCGTGTCCCAAAACAAGGGGTGCAATCATCTGTCAACATCGCTCCGACGATGTTGCACAGTGTTCGAAAAGAGCCGTCCGTTTTCTCGTTGTCCTCCCGTTCCCTTTGAAAATCGATGTCAACGAGTCCGCGAATAATTGTGAATGGTAGGCGGCGGCCGAATGCGCGTGTGCGATATTAACGTTGTTTTAGAAGGGCATTCTTGTAATGAACTTCTCAGACCCTCTCGCCGTCGACAGGTTCAGTTTTGCGCCTCGGTCACCCTCACCTTCGCACTGATGCAAACCCGAACATTGAACCCCAACATTCGATCGATGAGACTCCTGACGCTCAGCCCCTTGCAGGATTCGCACCGGGTCTTATCGTCCACATTTTCTAGACTGAAACCCGGCTCCCAACCGCAAACCTTGCTTACCATCTATTCACGCCCGCAATGTTTCCCGTGCCCGGCAGGTTGCAAACGCGCTCCGCAACTGCTGTTTCGACGCGGGGTCCAACATGTTCTCCCTGCTGCGCCTCTCGGACGTCCTGCTGCCAGCGCTGCTGCTGCCTCTAGCGGGATCCAAGGTGAGGGGCCGTTTCACAGGAGAAGCGACCTTCTTTCCTCCCTTGTCTTTCTTCATTCCTCGCTTTCGGTTGGTTTCCTTACGTTCTTTGGACGATCCAAGATTCGAGAAGTCGAAGCAAGCTGTCTTTTGAGCGTTCAGCTTAGATTGCTTTCGTGCGTGGTCCTGATGTCAGCGCTGCTGCTCCCTCTCGCCCGGTTCGAAGGTAAGGATTGTATTGGCCTGAAAGCAAGGTGTCGTGGTATTCTTTCTGTCATCAAATGATCCCTCGCATTCGTTGTTTAATCAAAGTAAAGCCTTTCCTGGTATCAAGGATCTCTGGAAACCCTGGCCACCGCATCCGGACCCTTTCGACAGATGGTTAAGCCTATATCGTCTTGCACCCTTTCTGAGAACCAACGTCTTTTTTCTGAGAACCAGCACGTTTGGCGCCGCATGTAAAACCCTTATCAAACGAGGACCTTGAATTGATGCCAAGCCTCTGACGGAGCCCCGGCGAATGAAGCCCACTCCCACCAGAAGGATTAGAAGCACCTTCTCTCTTGCGGTATTCGTGTTAGGAGCAACACGACTTGATCCGTATTTGCAGCCCTTCTTAAAGAACTACCTCGCTTCCTCACAGGAGACAATTTCGGTTTCGCTGCTTTTTCTCGAAACACGACCTAGAAACGTTGCCCCCTTCTTTGGCGGGGGCCTCTAACCAAACCTTCAGCCGTTGGAATCTTTGAGGTTTGTCTGCTTCGTTGCAGAAGAAGATTCAGAAGCAACATGAACCTATTTGTAGTCGCAGCCCTTCTGGGAAAAACGACGTCGCTTCGGAGACGTAACAGAAAAGTGCTCAACTTTTGGGAGCCTTTCTCGAAAGAGGACCTCGAAAACATGCCGCCCCCCCTCACAGGGCCTGCCCTGCAACAGCTATACGCCTTTCACACTTAGTAAAGCATACCAGCTTCTTGCAGCCTTTTTCTTAACGAATCTACGCCGCGTTTCGCAGCCTTTCTGAAAGGAGGACCTGGAAAAGATGCCTCCTTTTCTCACGGGGCCTCTCGCCAAGCCCCGGCGACGGTAGCTAGACCTTTTTACATCCTGACAGAGCATCACAATCTCTTGCACCCTTCTACTCAGAACCAACACGCACTCAACCAACACCGACGTATTTATGACGGAGTTACGCCGCATCCTGCAGCCTTTCTCAAAAGAGGATCTCGAAAAGATGCCCCCCTTCCTGGCGAGGCCTCTCGCCAAGCCCCGTCGACCGTAGCTAGACCTTTTTGAACCTGACAGAGCAGTCCAATTTCTTGCACTCCTCAGAATCAACACGTACTCAACCGATACGGACTTGGTTAACACAGAACTACGCCGCATCCTGCAGCCTTTCCCAAAACGAGGACCTCGAAAAGATGCCCCCCTGGTTGGCGGGGCCTTCCCGAAGCCCCGGCGACCGCAGCTAGACCCCTTTCATATGTAGTAGATTATGTTATTCAGTTGCACCAAAGCGGACTTACATCTCCTTATGTTATCTAGTTGCACCAAAGTGGACTTACATCTCCTTTGCAGCCTTTTTCGAAAGAGGACCTGGAAAAGATGCCACCCTCCCTGGCGGGGCCTCTCGCGAAACCCCGGCGGCCAGAGCTGGACAGTGGCGTGAAGGTCGCGGTCGCGGAGGCCCTGTATCTGGTGGCGGCAATCGAGGCCGGCCGGCGCGCGCTGTGGCAGGCCAACGCGCACCGAATCTTGCAGGTAGGAACTCTGTTCTGCAACTGGACAGTTGTCAATTTGTGGTGGAGCAACCGTCAAGAGAAGGTCTGAACCAGCGGTCGTAAAAGCCTCGACTCAACGGTCGTATTGGTCGACTTGACGGACTAGAAGTCCTGGGGGCTCGGGCTGCTTTTGAGCGTCGCAGGCGCAGGGTTGGTTGTTTCTAACTTGATTGCATTGCTTTCTGTCCTCCACGAATGTCAGGGCTGCGCGATGTGGTCTAAAAGTGCACAGAGTTCTCAGGTAGAGGGAACGCGAATCCTTTTGAGAGTTTTTGTTGGGTCCGTCAGTAGACGGCTTGCGTGTCATCCGCTCGGCAATACAGGAAGAACGGGGCCGCTGCAGGGATCTGTTGGTGCGTTCCGTAGGCGGCCGTTTATAAAGAAAGGAATCTTCCTTGGGCACAATGATATGCACTCCGAGGTCCAGACTATCGGTCTTAGGGACAACTGAGTTGCTTGTGCTGGTTGAAGCTACTGCGTGGAATTACCTCGCAAATTCCAGATTGCGGACTTTGGTTGCTGCTGCGGTTTGCACCAGGCATTGCCAAAGGGAGACCGATGGCTGCTTATCACGACGGATGCCTCTGCTTGCGGAAGGGCAGGAAGGGATTACTGGAGCGGCAGAAAACGAGGGAAAAGAGGATAGAGAAGGAGAGGGAGGGCAAAGGGGGAGGTGAAAAAAGGGGAGTACTCGACGTCTGTCACGTCTAACTGGTCGGCTCTGCTCTTGGTTTCGCAGGTCGGCTACGAGGATGAGGAGGACGCCGACGTCATGCTGGCGTACGAAAAAGTGGGCGCGCTGGTGAGTGCGAGCGCGTGACTTTGTCTTCGTTTCTTTCAACGTGCTTCTCAACAGTTCTCGTCGCCGGGAAAGTGGGCGCGGTAGGAAATAAGCATCTTGTTTCTTGTTAATCCTGACCCGGGTCCCTGGCATAAATAACCCAATCCGAGGTCCGGATGTGCGTTGCACGGCACCTTCCTTTCCTTTCGTGATTCTCAATTTACCGCAAGAAGAAGCTTCGAAATTGGTATGGAGCTCTTCGTTTTCAGGGGGCTTAAGCGCCCCGCTAAAAAGACGGGGAAGGTCAACCAACTCCTGCCCTTGCTGATGAATCCGAGTCCCCTCTTCTGTTGACGAGAACTGACGTGTGATCCTGCATAGATCTGGATGAATACGAGGGATCTCCCAGCTCAATGTGCAGCACTTAAGTCGTTCAACAACCTGTTTAGTCGTCGGAAGAGGCAGGACATCGCACACAGAATCTGATGTCAGGAGGTGGATTTTCAATCACTGCCATCCTTGCTTGGCCTCATAAAATATGGGCGGGTATCTTGGAGCGATCAGTACGCTGGGCTTCAGAACGTTGTGACCCTGTCTGAAGCGGCTCGGGAAGGGAGGGCTACATTGTACGATTGAGGAAGCCAGGCGTTATACCAGACGTTAGTGCGTGCCATGTTCTGCCGGTCCCAACTGGGTTGAGCAGACCCAATCTTCTTTCATGACTGATAGTATTCCTGTTTTTGCGTCCAGTTTGTGGCGGGGTCTGAAGGAGACGTCCCCGGGACTGGGTCGGGGGGGTGACCAGGGCGGCGACGCGTCCCCTTGGCTTGAGGGAGTGGGTCCCCTTGGCAGGCGTCTTTCAGGGACGGGGCCACTATCCGGCTAAGACAGTCCCAATAAACGGAAGTTAGCACGTCGCCAACATAACGTCAGTCTCGGGGGACGAAGCAATTACGATGATCGATTATATCAGCGTGTGAGCCAGCTATAGGCGCAGTGCTGTTTTCCTCACTGCTAAGTACTGGCGGCCCTCATGGCTGGGCAGCTTTCATGGGCCCGGCAAGTTATTGAGACTTGTCAACCATGCAATGAGGGCATAAGTTGAACAGCTCCTGCCCGTGTATATATGTTGCATGACGCTCACTGATGTTCTGAAAAGGCGGACGAGAGCTCTAATGATGTACCGGCCATCATTCCGACAATCATAGGCGCGAGGATGCTGCCTCGTTCCAGAATTATATAATCAGTAATGCCAACAGCATAATATGGCACATGCTTGATCGAAGCCAGCTACTAAGCTGCACCGCGTGCTTGTTGACAACTCTGGGCTTGCGACTGGGATCGTGAGGCGCTCTGACTGTTACCTTTCAGCCAACAATAATACCTACTCAGTACATCTCAATTACGTCTACCTTCGGACCTTGATTAGGCAACTTGTAACAACCACGCATGCAAGTACGTGATGCTACGTGACGTGTGGAGTGTAGAAGGAGCTGTAGCGAAGTCGAGTACGTGCAACTTGAACATCCAACTTGAAACTTCGTAAGCCACCAATACTTTGAAACTTTAGGAGCTGAGCACGTTGGCAGGGGTAACTTGTCTTACGTGTCTGATATCACTAGTTTCTTTCATTGCTACACTATTTTCAATCATTTTCGATTGTTGCTCAATCTTGTCTGTTGATTAACAACCACCAACATTGCTTACATCCAATTGTCAAGCTCCTAGCTAGTGCAACATCAATGTGCCTAAGCATGGCACCATCTTTCATATCAAATGGATTGTACTGCTTATTCTATTTGTCTCACTTATCTATTGACATTTGGCATCTTTGTGCGAGCTATCTATAGTCACCTGTCAACAATTATGTACGTAAGCAATGTCTACATTCTTGGTAAAGATGGAAAAAGCGTTTGAAATCTAAGAGTGACCTCACGATCCAGATTGACCAATGCCCAGATCCTCCCCTCCATCTCTTCCGTAACCTCTCTCTCATTGAAGCTGCAAAACGATTCGAAAAGAGCTGCATACTCGCTCTGTTGCAAGCGGTCACGTGCTATCTCTAGAAACTCGAGCGCTCTCTCGCTATCTAGTTTCGAAGCATCTCGTCTATACCTGTCCGATGTGAACGAATTCTCACCCGCAGACACTGAATCTACACTAGAATAGGAGCTTTCCTCCTCACAGCCGCAGCTGTAGTCGGATTCTGAATTCTCGGAACATGTTGAGCTTGTGGAAGATGTGGACTGGACCGATGCGGACGTCTGGAGGGGTTCCTGGACCAGGGATTCCAGTATGAAGTCCGCTAGGCTAGGATTCGCGCTGAGGAGTTGGAGCATGCTTGTGTCGATGCTTTGACTCTCCCTGCAAAAAACAAGGATATGCATGGTCAAAAAGTGAGCCAACAAGGACCAGGCTCCAGGCCTTACCCATTATGCAGGAGATGAACGAGCTGACCTCATCTTGCATTGGGTACACCATGCAGGCGTGCCAAAAGCTTTTCTTTAGTGCTGGTGATCGGACCACCTTGATCCGATCCGCCTTGCCCTGTGCAAGCAATCAACTAAAAATGTCCATCCTTCAACTCTATCTGTCCATCAAAGTCCATATGAAAGAAGCCATTAGGACCATGCAAAGTCACCAACAAATGGGGGAGTAGCAATAATTTAGAAGAAAAAGGATGCTATGCTGCTTGGCTCTACTTACTTCTCCCTCAGAAGGATGTCTTGGATTGTTGCAATGACAGCATTCGAGGTGTCCTCCATCTCTGCCCGGCTAGCAGAAACTGCCATCCTCTGTGAGCGGCGTGGTCTCTGCAGACCAATCAACGGAGCCATTCAGCGTTAGCTTTGCATTGACCGCAACCGCCTCTGAACAATCTAGACAAGCTCCAAAGCACCGCTCCTCTGATAGTGTGACATCACCTGAATGACGGCTTCCCTTCAAGAACAATCATGACACACCATTGAATGCTTGATTAACAGAGTTCTCAAAAGAGCTGAATGAGGTGTAACCCTGCATATATTGTGGTGCGGATTGAGCTTGTGTCAGGAGCCTGTTTAGCACCGCAAGTTCAAGCGGACCAAAGCACTCATAAAGCAAGTCTGACTTCGCAACTCAGCTTTACCAGTAGATGTGAACCACTTTCACTGATCAATCCACAAGATACAGAAAGGGTGGCGTCCTGTCAAACCAGCCGTTCTGTATCGGCCAAGATGTGGCGCAGACTTGTCACAATCTCAGAAGAACGCACCATTGTCAGAACCAGAGCGCTTCCGCGCATGAGGGTATGATCATCACCTGGCAAGGCTTTGCGATCCGCGGTGCACTAGGAGCTAGCAGATCTCTCGTGACAGCCATACCGGGGACTATTCCGGGAACTCAGCCCGCTGATACCCACTACTTTATGGCGCCCTCTCCCTTATACATATATATCATGTATCATCGCCTTCTAGAACATCTCTGGTCTTGCTTCTAGAATCTTTGCATGACCACTTAAACTTAAAGTTTTACCAGCCTTGGCAGTCTTTCTGTTTCTGACGTGCGATTGGCTGAGCTGAGCTTGAGCGGGAAAACTTTTGACCAGATGCAATCCGATTGCCGCGTCAGCTAAGCTCAGCTTGAAGCGGTTGCTAAATCGGATATGTGTTACTCTTTGCTCCCGGTTGGTGATCTCCGCCGGAACAAATAATCGATTAATTTCCGGCCGGACCCCCCGGTACAAAGTCGTGACTCTTTACCTATTTCCAAGACTCAGTGA